CGACTCAACGCGGTTAACAACAACAGGAGCAAAAATTCAATGCTAGCATCATACAAACCATTTAAAAACAATTAACACAATAATATACTAAGTAATTACACATCAGTAAACAACTCATTAGCATCTCATAACTAGAATCATGATCCAGCTCGTCATCCGTAGTTCCGTTTTCCTATATTCATTGCACTGCCATTGCACATGCATTAACATTTTACACACATGCATTAACATTGCTAAAGTTCAAAATTCCTTCCAATTTCCCTGATTGGCCGGTGCTGACAAGCCAGTTGGCTTTTTCCTGGCCTCTGATGGGCTGAAGGGTGGACCTAGGTGGTGCATGCACTGATTGGCCTAGCAGCAATAACACAGCCAGGGATATCCTACCTGCCAGATGGGGAAGCCCTGGGGCCTCCAATCAGCAGACTATGTTTCCTGGGGTAGGGAGGTTCCCAGGATGTTGCACCCATCTCTGGGTGTTGGTCAATGGAATCTGGGTACCAGGGAGTCCATCATTCCAGTGATAATTGTCCAAAGCTATGCCTTCTACCCAATTCCTGGGATATTTAATATTGCTCAAGAGTCAATCACAGGTTAAAACAGTTCATTGTAGTTTGTCTTCTGTTGTCTATGTTTTATAGAGAAAAAGTAATAATAAAAATTAGCATGTTCATAATCTTGGAAATAAGGGAGAAGTCGGGGGGGGGGGGTGAACAAAGGATTGGAAAAGTTAATTCCTTTTTTTTTTGTTCTTGTATGCTTTCCTGGCATTATATTTCATATTGTTATGGTGGAAGTCGTATGTCCCCAGTCAGACCTCCTCCAGGGTCAGAGTCCTTGTGACAACAATTGATGCTGACATGTCACCAGTCAGGGAGCCAGGAAGCCTCAATTACTGATACGGCATTGGGAACAGAACAACAATTTGGGATACCTGGGGATCTGTGGGAGAGGCTCTCAGGTGGGCTTAGCCCCATGCAACCTGCACTCGGCCCTGCCCTACTTGGGGGAACCCTGTTCCCTGCAAATATATGCTGATCCAGACCAGTTTAGATTGAAGAGCTAAGCCAAAATATGCAAGTGGGAGGGAAATGGATTTTGTGGAAATTGGGTTAGCTGCTGGTCTAGAAAGGGTCAGGGGGACAACTTCATCTGGGCACCATTGCAATTCATTTCTGCCCCTTGCCCTTGGAAAACTATAAATCCATTTGATGTCAAACTGTAGCCTTCTTTTATTGGGGGGGGGGGTAGTTGTGTTCAATAACAACATCAACTTTCACCACTCCTCACTATTGAATATCCGGGTTACAGTTGGTAGGAGTTGCTGTTTAACACTATTTGGACAGCCACATGTTGCCTGCTGTTCTAAATGTCACTGTGATAGCATCAACATTCCTTTTTACCTTTTCCCGCTTTTTCCTAACCTGAATATTTGCTGTAACAAATGAACACCCAGCAAAGCAAGATCATACATTCGCCAATATAAGTGCTTTGCAAGGTTACAAAGTTACCAGCTAAATCAATAAATCCACCCACGCGCCTCTCCCTCCACCCCCATTTTCTCACTGATCCACCCACAAATGGCAAGAACATGTTTTAAGATAATAATGAATCAAAGAGGTGTGTTGCCATGCAGCCAATAGTCAATGTAAGCGAGTCTGCTGGAGAGGTGGAGTGGAAATGGAAGGGCATGGTTGGATAATTTCTTACCACACACCCAGAAACTTTGATGAGGCAAAGCCTCGGGGATATGGAATTTCTTGGCACAGGAATATAATTTATTCCACCAATTTATACCGTGTCTGCTTTAACTATATGTCTCATCTCACTTTCACTCTTTGTTTTTTTCACCCAGTTAGATCCTCAATACGCTTATAATTGACCAAATATTGGCTACTTATTGAATCACTAAGAAATACCCTTTTAAGAAGAAAAAAAGCAAAATCATTTTCCACAATAGGTAAGACCAAAACAATGCAAAAGGTTAAATGTGTTGTCCTCCAAATTCCCATGGATCCTATCTAATCTTATCAGTGGCGGGTTTTGATGGAAATGTAGTTTCTCAATATTTGAAAGGCTGAAGGGTCACTCGGGTATGACTTAATGGATACTCTAGGTATCTATAATAAGTGCCTTCCACATGAGGCGAGTTCACACAAATAACCCCAGTGTGGCAATAGGAATGAATGAGACATAGATGTCCATGCATAATACTCTGCTACAAAGTCTTTAAGAGAAATAAAATGTATGCCGTTAATAGTCTAGCTCAGGCCTGCACAATATACAGATGCGACCCACAAAGGTCTCCCCTGCAGCCTGTGTAAGGAGCTGGTCAGGGAGGAGGAGTGGCCTGTAGAAGCTGTTTTGTTAATATGGACCCTTTACAAATGCCCAATTGTTCAGGCCTGGTCTATAGGGAAGGCTGAGAGTTGGACCATAGGGAAGGCTGAGCAAAAGAAGAACTGTGGTGTTGGAGGAAAGTTCTGAGAGTGCGAGAAGATCCAACCAGTCCATACTCCAGGAAATAAAGCCCGGCTCCTCACTGGAAGGAAGGATATTAGAGGCAAAGATGAAGTACTTTGGCCACATAATGAGAAGACAATATAGCTTGGAGAAGACAATGATGCTGGGGAAAATGGAAGAAAAAAGGAAGAGGGGGCAACCAAGGGCAAGATGTCACTGTGATAGCATCAACATTCCTTCAAGAATGGGATCCTTGAAGTGACTGGCTTGACCTTGAAGGAGCTGGGGGTGGTGAGGGCTGACAGGGAGCTCTGGTGTGGGCTGGCCCATGAGGTCACGACTGAACGAATAAACAACAACAACACACCTGGTTGATTTGAACAGACTGCACTTGAACAATCTGCCATGAAAATGTGAGGGAAAATTAAATCGGGGCACCACTCCTCCTAGTGGGTGGGTCAGGGTTTCTAGCCTTCTCCAAACAACCATGCTACCTTCATGACATCACCACTTGGTCCTTTCCTATTTTTATGGTCCTTCCTATTTTAGAAGGTTGAAATGATCCTCTTAGGGCAGTGGTTCTTAACCTATGGGCCGTTAACCACCAGTGGGCTGCAGAGACAAAAATCTGGTCCATGAGACTCCCTCCTCTTTGTTTTATTTTATTTTCTCTCCTTTCGTGCCGCCTGCCACTCGTTTCCTGTCACTGGCCATGGCATATGTTCTGTATCAGAAACTAGAGCTGATGTGGTCTATCCAATGCAATTTTCTGAATCAGCACCCCAAACTGAATCTAAAGTTGATCAAAAACTGATTTGTAACTCTTTTGGTACCAAAGTTGGAGAGTGGTCCCTGGTCAAAGTGGTCAAGTGGTCCCTAGTAAAAAAAAAAGGTTGGGAATCACTGTCTTAGGGCTGATAGTGGTGATAAGAACTTTAACCTAAAATATGCTGCCATTTTTACTCCCACCTTATTGCTTATGGCCTCATCCTCCATCTACACTGCCATTTTTTTCACATGTGAAAAATGATTTTGGATAGCGTGATTTAAATAATTGGTTTTAAATTGTGTTGTTTTAATGTTTTGGCTTTAAGGTAAATGTTTATTTTATTGCATGTTTATTTTTTAGCATTGAATTGCTGCCTAATTTGTAATTTGTAACCCCTGGCACCTATACCACAGAATACCCCCTTGATGGACTGTCACCATGTTGTGGTGAGGGGGCTTGCGTGTTCCAATGAACCTGCAGACACAACGACCAGAATCGTGCACTCCCAGGAGTGGCCGCAGGGAAGGTTCCAGACCAAGCACAGTCCGAAGACCCAAAGACCTCAACGGCGGAGCAGGCAAAGGATAACATGGTGCATGTTACAACGGTTGTGAAGGCAGAAGAAGGCTGCAAAAGATTGAGAAGCCACAGTCGTCATGTTAACTATGCCTCCAGTGGAACCTCACTCTGTGAAGACTGTGTGTTGATCAGCTGTGCACTGACCCCCATACATTAAAAAAATACACGCACAGGTGTCTTCCAAGGAAAATAAAAACAAACCAACAAAAGTCCCATGGCAATCAGCGAGTGGCGACGGGGGCAGGACTGTGAAATCTGGAAGCCCCTAGTCACAGACTGGCACATGGGCGGTGGATACGGACTCAGTCGTTATACCTCAAGGTCCAAGGCAGTTGAGTAGTTTAGCAGCTGACTGAGCAGCCCTTTTAAGAATCCACTCTGCTCACCCCACACGGAAGGGGCTAGAAAAGGTGCCCTAAACATAGTCTGCCTCTCTTATCCCTGACTGGACTGCCGCGTCCAGAGGGGTCACCAACCTGCGGCCAAAAAAAAATGAACTTTTTCTAAAAAAAATAAGGACCGACTCCCAGTACACTGATCTTGGAAGACAATCCTACTCAGACAACAAGGGATTGCCTAAGTACTGTAGAATTAATGTAGTTTAATGTCACTTTAGTTGCCATGGCTCAAAGCTATGGAATTCTGGAAGTTGTCGTTTGGTTAAGCACCAGCACTCTGGCAGAGAAGGCTAAGGACCTTGTAACACTACAGTTCAGTAGTGTCAAAGTGCACAAATTCTACAGTATAGATGAAACCTGTGTTATAATGCCAGCCAGTTATTAGTCCACACTTTACACCAGGGGTCTTCAAACTTTTTAAACAGAGGGCCAGGTCACAGTCCCTCGAACTGTTGGAGGGCCAGATTATAATTTGAAAAAGCATGAATGAATTCCTATGCACACTACATATATCTTATTGTAGAGCAAAAAACACTTAAAACAATACAATAATTAAAATGAAGAACAATTTTAACAAATATAAACTTATTTGTATTTCAATGGAAAGCGTGGCCCTGCTTTTGGCTGATGAGATAGGATTGTTGTTGTTGTAGTGTGCTTTCAAGTCGTTTCAGACTTAGGTCTGCCCTAAGTGAGGGCTGGGTAAATGACCCTGGAGGGCTGCATCCGGCCCTCGGGCCTTAGTTTGAGGACCCCTGCTTTACACCCATAGAGGTAAAATCAGAAAAAGCAACTCCCATATGCAAACATCTTTATTTTTAAATAAGTGAGTCAATTTACCATCCAAGTATATTAACTCTGTTATCTGTTACAAACAAACATCTGTAGGTTTCTTTGAAGTGAACTATGCACATTTATTGCAATCCTTGAAATTTCCAGAATCAAAAGCAGGAGGTGGGAATTTTTTTTCAGAGTATTTCGTCCTCTCCTTCTTCCTCCTCTGACTCTCCCGCAGTAGTCAAGCCATACTAGAAGTGAAGAAAAGTGAGAATGTGAATAGTTAATTACTGTTCTACGGAAGCCATCTTGGGTCCTCCTCTGGGAGAAAGGCAGCATATTAATGAAGTTAAATTAATTAAGCAAATTGTTAAGATTCTTAGAACATTTTTTATCTGCACTAGAAGAACTTTTAGATATTTCAGTGAACAAATAAATGCTTCTACTCAATTTGTCAAGTTTGTTGTTGTCATCCATTCCAATATATTCAAAGTTGAGCTGGACAATTTTCTTCTTCATCATATTTTGTAGGAAGTATTCCGATGTAAAATAAAGAGCGGGAGACCTTTTTACTTTTTCTCTGAAATGAAGGGATTTGTCCCTTCTGACTTAAAAACCTATTATCTCGCCTCTTCCTCTATCACAGACTTGTCTTATGGGAACAAGGGAGAGGGCCTTTTCCGCTGTGGCTCCCCGCTTTTGGAACTCGCTGCCTAGGGAGATTAGGCAAGCTCTCACCCTAGCGGCTTTTAAGAAAGATCTAAAAACCTGGCTCTTCTGGTGTGCCTTCGGAGAACGACCACTCAACCCATTCAGTTGTTTTAGCCTATAGCTGCCCTCAGAATAAAGCACCTTCCCTGCCCTCAAAATGGCTAAATCCCACTGCTCCTCCCAGTTGGACTCCTCTCTTACATATGCACTTTCATCCCTATTTCACCCAGGTTTTTAACATTTTACCTCATACATTTGGCCCGCCCTTTGTGTCTGATTTTATTATGCTGTTGTATATTGTTGATTTTATTTGTTATTTCATTTTTTGTTATGATGTATTTTATTATTGTGTGTTTATTATGTTGTATTATTTTGAGCCCGGCCTCATGTTAGCCACCCCGAGTCGCCTTTGGGGAGATGGTGGCGGGTTATAAATAAAGATTATTATTATTATTATTATTATTATTATTATTATTATTATTATTTGTTCTAGTACAGCTGTACCAGGAGCTCCAACTTTATTTTCTTTCTGTCATCTGTTTTGCAGTCATAGGATAGGCCACCTGTCCATCATCGTTAAGTTTTGGTCCCGCCCCTTGCTCAGGGCAATTGGGAAGGGAAGGGAGCCATTTTTTAGTTAGTCTCAGCAAGGAAAGCTAATGTACAGGACGTGTGCAAGCTTCCCCTGTACAAAAGCTTCAACCCTTAAGACTTTCCGGGGGGAAACAGTCTTAAGAGTCTCCAAAGATTTCCAGGAAAACAGCCCTAAAGACCAAAGAACTCCAGCTGGAGAATATCTAAGCCTTTACTGGTAGGTCCACTCGGTGCTTCGAGACACAGTTCAACCCGGTAGTGGAGTCCACATCAGTAAGGGTTAGATTACAGTCAGCCTGGGAGAAGTTAAAAAGGGGATTTTCCTTTAAAGTAAAGAAGAGGTTATTGAAGACAGTTGCCTGTCCTTCGTCGGCAAGATTAGGAAGCCACCAGTTGCATAAAGCTTGGAAGCATTTGGTTAACTTTATTGAAGACAAGAAAAGTTTCTATTTGTTCATTAATAAAGGACTTTGTTATACTTCACAAGCTATCTGAAGATCATTTGTGGTGGAAAACCTCTGAGAACTTCTCTTTGGGCCCCCTGGCTTCCCACTGGGCAAAGGTTGCACGTCCTGTTCTAAAGAAAATTCTTTACAGGCGCAGCACGCAACAGAACATTATTATTATTATTATTATTATTATTATTATTATTATTATTAAATAAGGGAAATATTCTAATAGCTGTTAGGAACACATCTATTCTATATTTGGTTTGAATCATGGGTGTTTCCAAATTCTGAAAACTGTTGTTTAATGACAGAGGTAAACATTCGCTATCAACTGTCTTGAATCTCTCCCAGGGAACCACTTTATTTGCCAGAGGGAACATCTATTTAACTAAGCTTCCTTCCACGCAGCCATATAACTCAGAATATGAAGGCAGATAATCCACAATATCTGCTTTAAACTGGATTATCTGAGTCCACACTGCCATATAATTCAATTTTATACAGTTGTGTACAAGGGGCTCAATAGTCTGGAGTATCACTGAATCTGTGAGTTGTTGGTTTGTGGTACTTACCTCGGATTGTTCCATTTCATCAATCTCATCAACTCTGCTCAAATTAGGAGCACCATATTTATCTGTTAATTCAGCTAAGGTCTTTGATGTTGCCTCTCTTTCAGCTGCTAACTTTGCCTGGAATTCAAAATTAATATTTAGGACCGTGGAAGGTATACTTTTACATGATATACTTTACTGTACCAAGCCAACATGACATAGGTTCAAATCAATGCACAATCCATTTCCTACCAATGTTTTGGTCATGGAGCTGAATGCCAGAATCTCTTATGAATATCCTAGGAAGATGAATGGACAATAGTAGTGGTTTTGTGTACCTCCCCTTCAGTTTCTTCTTCACAAATCAACCTGACTTCAAGTCTCTATTTGGCCACAAAGCTTATTAGGCAATTTTGGGCCAATGACTCAGGCCCCTTCTACACTGCCATATAAAATCCAGATTATCTGCTTTGAACTGGATTATATGACAGTGTAGACTCAGATAATCCAGTTCAAATCAGATAATGTCTGCTTTGATCATATGGTACACAAAAGGGGTCTCAATCTAACTTATCTTGCAGCATTGTTTCAGACTTATGGGGTCAAGAGAAAGTGAGCTACAAATACAGGTTGCAGTGATCGGTGAGATACCTTCTATCAATGGGAGCTCTGTTTGGGAGTTGTTGTTGACTAGGGATGGATGTAGAAATCTCTGTAGTTTAAATACAAATTGAATTTCCCAATAATGGTTGCAAAATAAGGGTGCATCTACACAGTAAAATCAATACAGTTTGACACTATTTTAACTGCCATGGCTCAGTGTTATGGAATCATGGGAGTTGCAGTTTTAGAAGGTGCCTCAGCAAACTACAAATCTCAAGATCCTATAGAATTGCATCATGGCAGCTAAAGTGGTGTTAAACTGCATTCATTCTGCAGTGTAGAGCCAGCCTGTGGCATTGTTAAATGGTGAAAAATCTATATTTTTCCAAGTTTGCAATGTAGTTTGAAAAACAAGTACATTTTTTAAAAAGCTGTTAAACAGTGTACACACATATAAAATTGTGTATGCAGAGAGAATGTGTGTATGTGTGTTGATCATTTCCACTACCTTGGCAGCCACCTCTCCACAAAAGTCAACATTGACACTGAAATACAACACCGCCTGAGCTCTGCGAGTGCAGCATTTTTCCGAATGAAGCACAGAGTGTTTGAGGACCGGGACATCCGTAGGGATACCAAGGTGCTTGTTTACAAAGCTATTCTCCTCCCAACCCTGCTATATGCCTGCGAGACTTGGACTATCTACAGATGTCACATGCAACTCCTGGAACGATTCCATCAGCGTTGTCTCTGAAAGATCCTGCAAATCTCTTGGGAAGACAAGCGGACAAATGTCAGTGTGTTTGAAGAAGCATTGAAGCAATGGTCCTCCACCATCAACTCCACTCCACTGGCCACGTTGTTCGTATGCCCAACCACCGTCTCCCAAAGCAGTTGCTGTACTCCGAACTCAAGAATGGAAAAACAGAATGTTGGTGGGCAGGAAAAGAGATTTAAAGATGGGCTCAAAGCCAACCGTAAAAACTCTGGCATAGACACTGAGAACTGGGAAGCCCTGGCCCTTGAGCGCTCCAGCTGGAGGTCAGCTGTGACCAGCAGTGCTGTAGAATTTGAAGAGGAATGAATGGAGGGTGAAAGAGAGAAACATGCCAAAAGGAAGGCAAGTCAAACCAGGACCGCCTTCCACCTGGAAACCAATGCCCTCACTGAAGGAGAAGATGCAGATCAAGAATAGGGCTCCACAGTTACCTACAGACCCACCACCAATACACCGATCTTGGAAGACAATCCTACTCGGACAATGAGGGATCGCCTAAGTAAGTAAATAAGTAAGTTGGAAAAATGCAAATAAAAATGTTACATGCAATGAGAAAATCACGTGTAACAAATTACATATATTTGAAAGTTTACCCCAAATAACAAAAAGTACAGGTTAGTGGAATAAGCTTAGAGGGCATTGAGGCAGACTCTGAAAAAAAAAAAACCCCTGAGGTTGACCAGTCTCATACAACTAAAGGGACTGATGTGCTTCTCTTACCTCCAACTCTGCCTGCCGTTTCTGCTCCAAGATAAGCTCCTCTGCTCTCTCTCTTTCTAACCTCTCACGTTCTTCGCGCTCTCGTTCCATTTGTGCCTGTAGCCAAGTCATGCAAGTGTTGAAGATGCATTATCTGCAAGGCATTCTTACAAAGCTATGGGAACCTATTTTAAACAATTTAAACAGCCGTCTTAAAAAATTGCAAGAAATTCAAAAATGAAATCTCCTGCAGCATGAAATTTCAGAATGTACTTTTCCAGTTTAAGATTCTGCCTTTTCATTCTGTTGCAACTATAGACTAGATTCAAGCCCTTTCTATGCTGCCTGATATCCCAGGATCTGATCCAAGATTATCTGCTTATCCCATATTGTCTGAGAGAGCAGACTCATATGATCCTGTTTAAAGCAGATAAAATGGGATCAGATCCTGGGATAAAGATCAATGGAGATCCAACCTAAGTCTCATCAAAATGGTTGTTTAGTTTATATTTATTAGGTATCAGCAGTGCATCAGTCCCTGCCATATGTTTCCGTGAAAGAGTGAGCCTCGACGGCTGATTTCATTTTATTTTATGTGTAGGATCAGCGAGGAGATTGCCAGTACTCATCCCATCAAAGTTAGTATTCCATTGAATCTTCCTCTATTAATTTTAGTTTCAGTCTAATTTTTGTGACTGAATTTACCCCTAAACTGTGCACTTCAATGCTGCTTTTACATTTGGCCAAAAAGGATTTTGACAAGTAAGCTTGGACCAACCCATTGTCCCTCCTGCTCAAATATGAGTCAATCTCTTATTTTCTCAATTTCCCTCTTATTGTTTTGCATCCCATCTCATTATATTTTATTTCTGACTTTTCTTCAGAGTTAAGGCCCCTTCTACACTGCCATATAAAATCTAGTTTATCTGCTTTGAACTGGATTATAAGGTAGTGTAGACTAATTTATTTTATTTATTCATTTATTTAGAAGTGTTATATGCCGGTCTTCTCAACCTCAGAAGAGGGACTCAGGCCAGTTTACAACATGTATTCATATACAGTAATATAAAACAGTACAGTGCATCATCATTATGCATTAAAACATAAAATACAGTAAAATAGGTTCTTGTGGGTTTTTTCGGGCTATAGAGCCATGTTCTAGAGGCATTTCTCCTGACGTTTCACCTGCATCTATGGCAAGCATCCTCTCCAGAAGATCTTAATAACCTTGGTGGTTCATAGGGGAGAATCCGTTCGGACAGGTAAATTGGGCCGGAGTCGTTTAGGGCTTTATAGGTCAGGACCAGCACTTTGAATTGTGCTCGGAAGCTAATTGGCAGCCAGTGGAGCTGGCGTAACAGAGGAGTCGTATGCTCCCTGTACCCCGCTCGAGGATGCTTGCCATAGATGCAGGCGAAACGTCAGGAGAAATGCCTCTAGAACACGGCTCTATAGCCTCGAAAAAACCCACAAGAACCTAGTGATTCCAGCCATGAAAGCCTTCGACAATACAGTAAAATACATCATCACATTACACAAGCCAAGTTGTCAAATGCAGTCACAGTTCATCGCCATCCTTCCGTGTGGACAAGGGTTATTGACTCAATCATCAAATGCCATATTCCAAAGCCAGGTTTTTATTACCTTTCTAAAAGTCAGGAGGATGGGAGCAGATCTAATCTCTAGTGGGAGGGAATTTAAAAGCCGAGGGGCCACCACCGAGAAGGCCCTGTCCCTCGTCCCCACCAGACGCAATTGCGAGGGTGGTGGGACCGAGAGCAGGGCCCCTCCAGAAGATCTTAACAACCTTGATGGTTCATAGGGGAGAATCCGTTCGGACAGGTAAACTGGACCGGAGTCGTTTAGGGATTTATAGGTCAACACCAGCACTTTGAATTGTGCTCGGAAGCTAATTGGCAGCCAGTGGAGCTGGCGCAACAGAGGAGTCGTATGCTCCCTGTACCCCGCTCTGTTAGCAATCTGGCTGCCGCTCGTTGGACTAATTGAAGCTTCCAGGCAGTATAATCCAGTTCAAATCAGATAATGTGGATTATCTGCTCTGTTAATCTGGATTATATGACAGTTTAGAAAGGACTTTAAAGAGTATTTTAAAGTATTTAAAAATGTACAGTTATGATTCCGGAGACAAAAAGTAATAACTTACCTCAAGTTTGATGTGAAAGATGAGGAATCCAACATAAAGAGTGGGAATAAGGATCCCAGATGTAGTGAACCTCATGTTTTCCTACCTGCCTCTCTTCTTCAAGTTTCTGTTGAATCAAAATTTCTTCTTCTTTCATTCTTTCTAACATCTCCACTTCTTTTTGGGCCTCCTCGCGTTCCCGCTCCAGTTCTTCTCTTTCCATTTTCCTCTAAAAAATCGATTTTTAAAGATCAGGAAAAGATAATATTTTACACTTTGTTTGCATTGCTTTGAATAGCATAAATATCAGTACAGACCTTTGAAATGTTTATTGCAGTTATGCTATTTACTGAAATATTAGACACTTAAATATTACAGTTTTTCACATGTCTGCTCAGAAGAGGCTGAATTCCATGCGACATATTCTCAAGCAAATAGTTATAGTATTAGAACTTTTAATTGTGCGTCTTTTGTCTACAAGACACAAGTAGCACAGGGTATAGTAGAAAAATCTAATGAAACCCAATATATAAAATAGCTTTACAGTATTGTAGATGTAATTTGTATGTGTTAGACAAGTCAAATATATCTGAAATTCAATTTTAGATACTGTTCCATTATCTAAGTGGAAGCCACTAGGAGGCACTAGAGAGAAAAATATAGTTCATTTTATTGGGGGGCGGTGAATGAAGGAAGCCATTTTCTACTGTTTTCTTATTATTTCCTCTCCCCACTTCCCATTACATAATTTATTTATTTATTTATTTGCTATACTTGTATACCGCCGTTTCTCAGCCTAGCCGGCGACTCAACGCGGTTTACAACAACTTATAACAAACAACAGTATACAGTTTAAAAAGCATAAAAACATAATCCACAATACATATATCAATAAACAATCCAATACATCTCTTGACTAAAAACGTGATCCAGTTTCGTCGTCCAAATTGCCAGTCCTTCAATCATTACACTTATTGCACTGGGTTAACCGAACGCCTGCTCGAACATCCAGGTTTTTAGTCTTTTCCGGAATACCATCAATGAGGGGGCTGATCTTACCTCCATGGGAAGGGCGTTCCAAAGCCGCGGGGCCACCACAGAAAAGGCCCTGTCTCTCGTCCCCGCCAGTCGCACCTGTGAAGCAGGCGGGATAGAGAGCAGGGCCCCCCCAGAAGATCTTAGGGTCCTGGTGGGCTGATAGGCCGAGATACGTTCGGATAGGTAAGTTGGGCCAGAACCGTTTAGGGCTTTAAAGGCCAACGCCAGCACTTTGAATTGAGCCCGGTAGCAGATCGGCAGCCAGTGGAGCTGGTGCAGCAGAGGAGTTGTATGCTCCCTGCGCTCCGCTCCTGTTAGTATCATGGCTGCCGAGCGTTGGACTAACTGGAGCTTCCGGGCCGTCTTCAAAGGCAACCCCACGTAGAGAGCGTTGCAGTAGTCTAAACGGGATGTAACCAGAGCGTGGACTACCGTGGCCAAGTCAGACTTCCCAAGGTACGGGCGCAGTTGGCGCACGAGTTTTAACTGTGCGAATGCTCCCCTGGTCACCGCCGAAACCTGGGGTTCCAGGCTCAGCGATGAGTCCAGGATCACACCCAAGCTGCGAACCTGCGCCTTCAAGGGGAGTGCGACCCCATCCAGCACAGGCTGTAACCCTGTACCCTGTTCGGCCTTGCGACTGACCAGGAGTGCCTCTGTCTTGTCTGGATTCAATTTCAATTTGTTCGCCCTCATCCAGACCGTTACAGCGGCCAAGCACCGGTTCAGGACCTCGACAGCCTCCTTAGTAGCAGGTGGAAAGGAGTGACAGAGTTGGACATCATCTGCATACAGATGACACCGCACTCCGAAACTCCGGATGATCTCACCCAGCGGCTTCATGTAGATGTTAAACAACATGGGAGACAGTATTGAACCCTGAGGAACCCCACAAGACAAAGGTTGTGGGGTAGAACAGGAGTCTCCCAGTAACACCTTCTGAGATCGGCCCTCGAGGAATGAGCAGAGCCACTGTAAAACAGTCCCTCCAAGACCCATTCCCGCGAGGCGTCCCAGAAGGATACCGTGGTCGACGGTATCGAAGGCCGCTGAGAGGTCCAGCAGCACCAACAGGGACACACTCCCCCTGTCGAGCTCCCGGCGCAGATCATCCACTAAGGCGACCAAGGCTGTCTCGGTACCATGCCCCGGCCTAAAGCCAGACTGTGCCGGATCCAGAAAATCCGTGTCTACCAAGAATGCCTGGAGTTGTGAGGCCACCACACGTTCCATGACTTTGCCCAAAAAGGGGAGATTGGAAACAGGCCGATAGTTGACGAATTGAGTGGGGTCCAGTGATGGTTTTTTCAACAGCGGTTTTATTACAGCTTGCTTTAAGCTGGCTGGAATTTTGCCTTCCCGAAGGGAGGCATTAACCACCACCTTCACCCACTCGGCCAATACCCCTCTGGCCTCCTTCAGAAGCCAGGATGGGCAGGGGTCTAGGATGCATGTGGTAGCTCTCATTCCTCCAAGCACCTTGTCCACATCCTCGGATTGAACCAATTGAAATGAATCCATCAAAACCGGACAAGCAGATGCTCGTGTTACATCCTCAGATACTGCCGTTAATATGGTGTCCAGTCCAGAGCGGATCAAAGCGACTTTGTCTGCGAAGAACTGAGCAAAGGCTTCACAGCGAACTGCCGAGTCATCAGGGCACCCATCCTGCATGGTGGGTTTTAAAAGGCCTCTGACAACTCGGAACAGTTCAGCCGGACGGTTCTTTGCAGACGCAATAGTAGCCGCAAAGAAAGTCTTCTTTGCGGCTTTTATTGCCGCGGCATATGCCCTTAAAAAGAACATAAACAAGTGTTGTTTCCATGACGGGGACATGTTTGGGGGGAATAACAGGAAAACAAGAGGAAATAGTTTTACTCCTTCAACCCACCCTCTACACTCTTCAAAAGGACTATCTCTGGCACCCCCTAGTGGCCTCCATCTGGATAATGGAACAGTACCCAATTATATTTTTATTTATTACTATTATAAAAATTGTATTGTTTCCTTCTCTTCTTTCTAATCGTCTGAACAAATATAAATTGGGTGAAATGTGCTGGGATTTTCCAGCAAATAATAATTTCTCCCATTTTGAGACAGATACCAAAGTAAGCATTTAAAATATCATTAGTTCTCCAAAAGGAACTGCATATCTGGAGTTCAGCAAGAATGCTTACTTATTAACTTAACTCTTAAATTCTTCTACATTTTTTCCTGGCCAAAGCTGCTAAATTTTATCGCTTTTGAACCCTTCCTTTTTTATTCCAGAAAATTAATAACACTATATAATAAAAAAATTAAAAATCCTCTTCCTGATTTAAAAGTGTTATTTCTTGTAATTCCGTGGTACTTACTTTAATAGTAGTTGTTATCCTCCAGAAACTTGATTTTTGTGGCTGCCACAAACTATGTTGAATTGTCGAAGGCTTTCATGGCCGGAATCACTGGGTTGTTGTAGGTTTTTTCGGGCTATATGGCCATGTTCTAGAGGCATTCTTTCCTGACGTTTCGCCTGCATCTATGGCAAGCATCCTCAGAGGTAGTGAGGTCTGTTGGAACTAGGAAAAATGGGTTTATATATCTGTGGAATGACCAGGGTGGGACAAAGGACTCTTGTCTGCTGGAGCTAGGTGTGAATGTTTCAACAAACTTTTGTTGGCATTTGATTGCCTGGCAGTGCCTGGAGCAATCTTTTGTTGAGAGGTGATTAGATGTCCCTGATTGTTTTCCCTCTGCTGTTTTGCTGTTTTAATTTTAGAGTTTTTTAATACTGGTAGCCAGATTTTGTTCATCTTCATGGTTTCCTCCTTTCTGTTGAAATTGTCCACATACAGAGAAGCCATTGAAATCCACAAGCATGTGGACAATTTCAACAGAAAGGAGTCAGTTGAAACATTCACAACTAGCTCCAGCAGACAAGAGTCCTTTGTCCCACCCTGGTCTTTCCAGAGATATATGAACCCGTTTTCCTAGTTCCAACAGACCTCACTACCTCTGAGGATGCTTGCCATAGATGCAGGCGAAACGTCAGGAGAGAATGCCTCTAGAACATGGCCATATAGCCCGAAAAAACAACAACCCAGTGATTCCGGCCATGAAAGCTTTTGAAAAATTATAGCAAAATGTGCTGTAGGATGTCCCACAATTGCAATTTAATACACCTTTCCCATGTTTTTATGGTAGAACCAATTAGGAAATGACATTTATAACCCAGGAACAAAAAATCGTGTTATATTGTGTACTCACTCCAGAATTTCATGCACCTAGAATCTCCTCCACAAAGTAGATAGCTGTCGTTACCCACGATTCTACCTGGACTTAAACCGAGTCAGTGCTCAGCTTCTAATGTACAAGCCTTTCAGTTTACTATTAGAAGTGCAATTTGGAACCTATATCAAACCCCTAAATTGAAAGTACACAACATGTCATTAGTGGCTCAAAAAATAGCAACTGTCTACAAGCATAAAGTATTCACTAGTGATCTAATAAGGACAACACTAGACTACTTTCATAACAATAATATTCAATGCAATCCACAAATTAGATGCTTGTAGTTCTCCAGATGGTGTTGGACTACAACTGCCGTCATCCTTAGGGATCATCGGCAAAGCAGAAAAGTGTTGTCAATTAGAGTCTGCCAGTATCTGGAGAACCACAAATTGTTAGCTCCTAAGGCCCCTTCCACACAGCTGTATAAAATCCACATTGAACTGGATTATATGGCAGTGTGGCAGTGGATTATTGAACTGGATTATATGGCAGTGTGGACTCAGATAATCCAATTCAGAGCAGATAGTGTGGATTATCTGACTTGATAGTCTGGTTTATATCGCTGTGTGGAAGGGCCCTAAGTAAGCTTTGAAGATCCTACCTATAGTTAATCCAGAAGCAGGTCTCACCTGTAGTTCATCAATCATGTTCTTCTTATATTTGTAAATCCAGTGTGCCAGATACAGTATTGGGTCAATGGGACGACGTTCTGCCACTTCAGCAAGACCCTCTGATAAGCATTTGCCTAGGCATTTTTTGAGATATGCAGTCTCCATTTCTGGTTCCCAAAGTATGCGTTCCGGAAATCAATGTTTGTGGATCTAAAACTAGAAAAGCATTTTGAGTCACAGATTTTCATTATATATCTCTTCCCCCCCCCCTTTCTTACTTTCTTTTTACCTTTTCCCTTACTATAAGCTTCTTGGAGGACATTTGTGGATCAAAAAGTTATCTAAATATAAACGAGTGAAAAATAAGGACACAGGGAGAGAAAGCACACTAAGCTAAGTCCCACTGCATTATTGCATTTGTCTAGAAAACTTGTATGMTCTGACAGGGACATTTTAACCACTGGGTTAAAATACTCTAACAGTGGTTCTCAACCTGTGGGTCCCCAGATGTTTTGGCCTTCAACTCTCAGAAATCCTAAAAGCTAGTAAACTGGTTGGGATTTCTGGGAGCTGTAGGCCAAAACATCTGGGGACCCACAGGTTGAGAACAGGTGAAAAAATACAAAATTTTGTGTATTCTGAGCAGTATCCTGTTGCTCTATGGAAATTCCCATTGAACAACAAGTCGCATGGCATTTGGATGCCTATTGTATATACAGTGGGAAGCATGACTTGACACCCATGCTTTTGGATCCATTTGCACAATGGTTCTGGAGGGGGAACTCTGCCCTTGCTGGATTCTTGTGAATATGAGCATTGCCCAACATTGAAGACCATTGCATGTGATCATAATTCATCTCTGTTGCTGTTGTGTGCCTGACTTATGGTGACTTCAAGGCAAACCTATCATGATATAAATTTTTCAGAGAGCCTTCCCAGTCAGTTTTAAGCATGAATTTTAAACTTGTGTCTTGTGTTTAATCTCTGTTATGTGCATTTTAATATTTTATAGAAATACGTTTTAAACATGTATCTATGTAATTTGTTAGCTTTGTATAAACAAACAGATATTAAAAACCCCAAGGGGGGTGCCCACGCAAAAACTTAAGAATTAAAACTCACCCAATACTTTTTTGTTTGAATGCTATAATTCTTGGAAGTCAGTTTTATTTTCACTGCAAGTGAGGTGAAGCCAAAAAAGCTGTCATTCCTCTTTGAATTAAGAAATGATAGGATGCTTCTTATCATGAGGACAGAAAAGCAGCAGGGCAACATGAGCTGAATGAGCTGGGAAAGAGACTAAAACAGAATTCTGGGAAATGTAGTTTGGAAAGCCGAGGAGCCCTATGGCAGAGAATTCAAAAGGTCCTGCCCTAAACTACATTTCCCAGAATTCTGCTAAGCATCTGAAAGCCCCAAGCAGGATAGGGGAGAGATTGGTTCCTCATAGAAGCAGCCAGAGTTCCAAGAAATTGTTGAATCTGCAAAAAGGAGGACTAACTGATACGAGGAAGTAAATCTGTGCTGGGTTGTAAAGAAATCCCTAAATAGAAATTCTATTGGTTAAAGACATTCAATGAAATAGCTGTTGTGTCTTTTAAAAAGTTTTCATCATTTTTTTAAAAAAATCCCCAAAATCAGTAGATGCATGAATATTTCGGAAAGTTGGGGGGAATGATCCCCCTGTTATCCTGTGCCATTGTATAGAAAATTCAAGGAGCCACCTCTTGTATTTTTTTTATTTTGTTTGTAATTTTTTTTAAAATTCCTCAAAAATCAATGGATGGGTGAAACATTCTGAAACTTGATGGGCTAACAGTGGTAAATATGTTCTATAATCATAGCAAGTTTCATGCCAATGAGGCAGAAAGGTGCGTCTGAAGTTTCCCTATTTGCACAATTACTATAATGAAAAAGTGACATAATGTTGTTACTCTCATTATAGTAATTACATTTTCACTAATGATACTTTAGAAACACTTTAGAAATGAAACATCAGCACCCCCTAATTTTGTAATGAGTTTTGAAACATTTTTTTCATTGATCACACAGCTCTTTTATATATATATATATATATATATATATATATATATATAGGTGTGGGTGTGGGTGTGTGTGTAGGCCAAAGCCCCATAAAAACTCACTAAACACTCTTCCATTTATAAGACAGAGAAAAGAAAGGCTTGTTGCATTGTCTGAACATGTGTGTATAGAATTTCTACAATATTCATGTGTTTTAATTATGCTGTAACCTGTCTCAATGGAGCCCCCGGTGGCACAGTGGGTTAAACTCCTGTGCCGGCAGGACTGAAGACCAACAGGTTGCAGGTTCGAATCCGGGGAGAGGCGGATGAGCTCCCTCTATCAGCTCCAGCTCCTTATGTGGGGACATGAGAGAAACCTCCCACAAGGATGATAAAACATCAAATCATCCGGGCGCCCCCTGGGCAACGTCCTTGCAGACAGCCAATTCTCTCACACCAGAAGCAACTTGCAGTTTCTCAAGTCGCTCCTGACACAACAAAAAAACAAACAAACAAACAAACCTGCCTCAAGCCACAAGGAGAGACAGGTAAGAAATAAAATTATTATTATTATTATTATTATTATTATTATTATTATTATTATTATTATTTTCAGGCTGAGAGAAAACGAATGCCCAAAGTCCCCCAGTGGGTTTCTATGCCCAGGATTCAAACACTAGCCTTCCAACCTTCAGACTATAACACAACATCATACAAGATGCTACATTGGGATATTGGGATTAATTGGGCCCATGGTGATTTTACCATACCAGAGATTGGTGTATGAAGCATCCCACAGTCGGACTCTCTCAGCATCAATTCTAGTTCAAAGGAGAAGCCACCCAACAGTCATATCACTAAGAGATCTACATATCAAGATAGAAAAAAAAAGTATTTATCCAAAGGCAAACTTACACTTGAACCCAAGGATGTACCAAACTGCAATGTCCCTTTCTTCAGTATGGCTTCATCAACTGAGGATGCTCAGAGAAGCCGTTAGACCTGGAAGCTTCTGTTTGGTATCCTAGCAACGGACCACTGCTTTATCTCTGATGATGCTACAACTCCCTCTTCTCCATAGGCAAGATGTTCCTCCTACCTTTACTTGGTTTGACTTTTAATGCTAATTGGCAAAATCAGTCTTCACAAGCGCTGGATCAAAATGTTTCTTACTGGGTTATGATAGTTTCCCAATTTATTAATCTTGGAAAGATACAAAGCAGATTAAAAAGGATGGAGATTTTGAAGTGATCAAATCAGAACCTGAGAAATGATTATGTGGCAATGATTATATGACATTTGCTGGCAAAAAAGTAGGATTTGCTACTAAATTTAAATTTGGTAGAGGAACAAATAAAACACAGTATAATTAAATAGTCAAGATGAATGGGGCATAATATTAGTTTGATAAAATGGGAGAAAGTGTGAATTGCAATTTGAAAGAAAACTTCTTGAAATTGATGTATTATTGATATCTTTTTTCCAGTTAAATGGTTAAATAACTATTGTTGGAAATGTCTTGATGAGGGTGTCATCAAAGTTTCTTCCTGAGTCTTTGTCCAGTGAGCTGCTTGGGTCCCCCAAAGGGAACATTTCAGGCAGCCAATGGATGGCCTCCCACTGCGTGTCCAACAGACTATTGTCCTGGCCATGCCTTCTGCCCAGAGTGGAGGAGAAATCCTGGAATAATTTGAGATTGCTCAAGAGGTTAAAAAAGTTCATTTTGGTTTGTCTTCTATCAAAATAAAGCAATAAAATAAAGACACAGAGATAGGAACTAAGGGAGGTTCCATCATAAGTTCATAGTTAGAAATAAGGGAGAAGTCGGGGACTTTCTTGGCCCCATAGAGTATAGGAGAGGTTAGGTAAAGGTAAAGGGAGTCCCCTGACATTAAGTCCAGTCATGTCTGACTCTGGGGTGTGGTGCTCATCTCCATTTCTAAGCTGAAGAGCCAGCCTTTTCCGTAGACACCTCCAAGGTCATGTGGCCGGCATGAATGCATGGAGCGCCGTTACCTTCCCGCTGGAGTGGTACCTATTGATCTACTCACATTTGCATGTTTTCGAACTTCTAGGTTGGCAGAAGCTAGGGCTGACAGCGGAAGCTCACGCTGCTCCCCGGAATCGAACCTGCGACCTTTCGATCAACAAGCTCAGCAGCTCAGTGCTTTAACCCACTGCACCACCGGGGGCCCCATAGAAGAGGTTACTCCCTTTTATTTGTTCTTTTTGTTATCTCTGCACTGATGCAGAGTTTCAAATGAAAGAGTTTTCAAAGGAAAAGAAAGATACAGTGTTCCTTCACTTATTGTGGGTGTTACGTTCCAGGACCACCCACAAAAAGTGAAAATCCACAAAGTAGGGACACTAGTAGCATCTCAAGCTGCCATTGCACAAGTCCTACTTTCATTTTTGGTGTGTATTCATCCTCTGAGTATATCCTGACACCCTTTTCTTTTTAGGGAGCTTGATGCCTCTTTTGCCTTTCTTTCCATGCACCGGGTTGGTCTTGTGATGTCACGCAGGTCCAGGGGCGGCTCAACCCATTACGCAAAGTAAGCATTTGCAGTATAGTTGATTTTGCCCAGGGCACTCTTGAGGTGCTCTTGGGGGAAAATAGACCTTGACATATGCAAGTTGTAGTTACTGGGATGTATAGTTCACATGCAATCAAAGAGCATTCTGAACTCCACCAATGATGGAATTGAACCAAATATGGCACACAGAACTCCCACGACGAACAGGAAATATATATCAGTGATTGGTTGGGGGGGGGGGCAAAATACTGTTTGCTTACCGTTGAAAATTACCTAGAGACGCCTCTGCGTGGGTCCCCCCTCCTCCCTCAAGACCCACCTGCCATTCACCCCTCTAGACCTGTCCATCATCCTTCCCTTCCTTCTCCCGCTTTCAATCCGGTCAGGCTCCCMTCTGCAGGGGAGAGTGAGGAAGAGGGGGAGGAAGAAGAAGGCAAGAAGGAGGAGCTGGGCACGTGGGGTGCCTGCAGGAGGCGGCTTCCCAGGCTGGCATATCCCACGATGCACGTGGCAAGGAGAGGCGTAGCTCCAGTGGAAATATATACATTACTGTATTTATTGAAAAACCGCAAAACAGCGAGTCCGTGAAAAGCGAAGTAGCGAGGGAACATTGTACATAGTATAGTGTTGGAGGGGAAAATGTTGACAAAGTCCCAAAAATGGAGATACATTGTAGCATCATAGGAATTGTGTTCTCTACTACTTCACCACACTAGAGAATGAATTCTCTTTAAATCCGGTTTCTGCCTTCTGCAGAATTCTAGGGTTTGTAGTTTAATGAAGCTGTTAAAGGCTCCTCCCTAAACTACAAACCCCAGAATTCTGCAGGAGGCAGCAATCGAATTTAAAGTGGATTCATTCTCTAGTGTGATGATCAGTTTTGTTGTAAAGGAGGTTATATGTCCCTAGGGCTGGCATGGGCAAACTTTTTTGCTTTGGTGCCGTATTGCGGTCCCAACTGAGGGGGTTGGGCCAAGAGGGAAGGGGGCCGATATCATGCTGGAGGGGGCAGGCATGCGATGTGTAGGGTCCAGGAGAGGGCAGGGCCAGGAGGGAGCAGGGCAGGGCCTGAATCATCCTCAGGTTGTCCTCCCAGCATAAGGACAGGGATGCTTGCCCCATTCTTATGCCGGGAGGAAGGCAGGATACACAGTGACTGCCCTGATCCTGTTCCCATTATCCTTGGGCTGTCCTCTTAGCATTATTTCAGGAGGAGGACAATGCAGGCAGCAACTGAAAGTGCTCTAAGGGCTCTCAGCCACCATGGGCCTTTCTTGAGCTGTCCTCCTGGCATAAGGATGAGTCCGCTCACACCTTCCTTACGCTGGGAGGAGGACGAGACACACGGTGGCTGAAAGCACTTAGCTGCTGCATGCCTTCCTCACCCATCTTTTCACCATAAGTACACGGCGGGCTGCCATGTCATTATGCAAAAAGGACAGGGAAAATGAGGTAAGCACTCAGGGGGCCACATCTGGCCCCTGGGCCTTAGTTTGCCCGTGCCTGCCCTAGAGAGATCTCCAACAGGGCCAGGCTTCCTTTGAATGATCACTGGTGCAGATCTGTTGGCAGCTGGGAAGCAGCAGGCTTCCTTTGGCCTCTGCAGCTTCAGGACCAGGTCGGCCTTCTGGGAAGCTTGGGGGTCACTGGTGGGGACCCTTGGGTGGGCTCCACTCCATGCGACCCACACTCAGCCCTGCCATATCTGGAGGAACGATGTACCCATCTGCATGTGTGCTGATCCGGACCGGTTAAGATTAAAGATCTGAGCCAAAATATGTATATGGAAAGGCAAATGGGCTTCCTGAGGTTGGGGTTTGCTGCTGGTCCAGGAAGGGTGGAGGATGTCTCGTCAGACCACGACTTCCATGATTCCATAGCATTGAGCCATGGCAGTTAAAGTGATGTCAAACTGCATTAATTCTACAGTGGAGATCCATCTGCTGATATTATAGCAAGACTGGAGCCTACAACATGAGATGCTTGAAGTATTATTTGGATTATCAAGTATTTAAATACCTAAATAATGTTTGAGGGATAGGGTGGTAGGTAGAGAAGTTAAGTGGAAATTTAGTGTAGAAAATGTTGATAGTGAGAATTATAATGTTAAATACTGGCTATTCATAAAGCCTTAACTGATAGCATGAGCTAGGTTTTTTTATGTTTTTTTTAAGCATCAATTCTCTTGTTTCTGAACTCTTATGATAAAATTGAGCTTCTTAATAAATTGCAATTCTTTTCCTCTCTCCCTCTAATCTTCATCTTCCTGTTTATTTGCCCCACAACAGCAACTTTAAGGGTCAATGGTAGCATGTCTTGGGAGGCTGAAATAGCCTACTCCTAGGCTGTTGCAGTTTATTATTGTAGAGCTCATTGATTATTCGTCTGATGTTTTGTTTTATATTTTGTTATAATGCTGTTGTTTTTCTGTTTTCTGTTGTTTAGATATTTTAATGTGTTATATTTCAACCATGTTGATCGGGCTTATCCCCATGTAAGCCACTTTGAGTCCCTTCGGGAAGATGGACGTAGAGTACGAAAATATTATTATTATTATTATTATTATTATTATTATTATTATTGCAGTTCATCCTAGCCCTGCATCCTTGGGAAACTATATATTTCGTGGTGGAATTATGTCTCTCTTTTATTAGGGGTGGGGGTAGGCGTGTTCTATAACAAGCAGATTATTATTATTATTATTTTGCAAATTTAGGAAAATATGAAGTGATGTATACTGGTATTTATAGCAGTAGTAGAATCTATGAATGATAAATATATGTTTATGTTAAGTAATTTTTATCTATGTCAGAGTGAGTAATAACGATATATAGAATTACCATATATATATTTAGTAGGTAAAAGGTAAAGGTAACAGTTTTCCCCTGACATCAAGTCCATTCGTGTCCAACTCTGGGAGTTGGTGCTCATCTCCATTTCTAAGCTGAAGAGCCAGCGCTGTCTGTAGACACCTCCAAGGTCATGTAGCCAGCATGATTGCATGGAGCGCCGTTACCTTCAAGCCGGAGCGGTACCTATTGATTTCACATTTGCATATTTTTGAAGTGCTAGGTTGCCAGAAGCTGGGGCTGACAGCGGAAGCTCATGCCACTCCCCAGATTCGAAGGAGTAGGTTATTTCAACCTCTCAGGACATAGTACCATTGACCTTAAAGTTGTTGTTGTGGGGCAAATAAACAGGAAGATGGAGATGAGAGGAAGAGAGTTGCAATTTATTAAGAAGTTTAATTTTATCATAAGCATTCAGAAACAGGAGAATTGAAGCTGGGGCTAACAGCAGGAGCTCACCCCGCTGTCCGGATTCGAACCTGCGACCGGTTAGCAAGTTTAGCAGCTCAGTGGTTTAACTCACTGAGCCACCGGGGACTCCCAGGTATAAGTTGGAATCATTTTAATGTGTTTAACATTTTTATTGTTAGTGTATGTTTTCCTATTGTGTGCAGTTTTGTGCTTGTTTTGATCTGTTTATTTAGTTGCTTACTTTATTTTCTTTGAATTTAAAGGGTCGTTTAGAAAGCTCTTGACTACTGCATTTCATCAGAGTATTCAGCACCCATTCTATAATTATGGAAATCATCTATGTTTTTGATTTTGATTTTCTTAATATTTTACTGTATATCTACCTGTTGAGATTAACTTCACAATACTGCAGCAGATCAGTTGCACAACTTCAGCGCTTTCCAGTAGCTTCTTCCTGCACAGTATTTTCAGTCAACTGCTCCCACAGCCTGCAGTCACTCTGGAACTCTTTTACAGATACTTGAGCACATGCCCGGCCATTGTCAGTTTTACCATTGTCTATTCCCCAGTCTAGATGACATTACAAATTTACCACAGCACACAGTTATATCTTGTCTTAGCAGACAGGTTCTTTTAATTACATATAGCCTTTGACGAACAACATCACAGCACAACGAGAAATATACACTGTACATGACTTCCTTATATGCAACTCATTTACACATAGCAATCACTGATTGGTTCCGAACTCATTGACTCAACTCAAACCCAGGACTGCATCATTCACAATCACCTGGACTAGGCCAGAACACATTCCCCAAATGAAGTTCTATATACAGTTAATGCATGACTCAGCATTTCCAATAGAAGCCCATTAGCAGTGCATGACTCAGCTATATTACATTACAATGCATTGTAAAATCAGACACTACCTTTGCTTATTGAAATTCATATTCCACTATTCAGTCCCCTACAAGCTCCTCCCCCACAAATATATCTTTTTAATTGCTATTTCATCCAGAGTTTTATCATTTTATGTTGTGCATTTGGCCCGCCCACTGTATTTGATTTTCCATTATGTTATTTTGTACTGTTTATTTGAATTGATTGGTTTATTTATTTTATTGTGATGTTATTTTGTTGTTTATATTTTATGTTGCTGTAATGTATCTCTGGGCTTGGCCTTGTGAGCCCAACGGCTCTGAGAGCCATTCAGCAGTGGAACTCTCTGCCCCGGAGTGTGGTGGAGGCTCCTTCTTTGGAAGCTTTTAAACAGAGGCTGGATGGCCATCTGTCAGGGGTGATTTGAATGCAGTAGTCCTGCTTCTTGGCATGAGGTTGGACTGGATGGCCCATGAGGTCTCTTCCAACTCTTTGATTCTATGATTCTATCTTCTTTCGAATTGCCAATATCCGCTGGATAATGGAGAAAGGCAGGGAGTTTCAGAAAAACATCTACTTCTGTTTTATTGACTATTCTAAAGCCTTTGACTGTGTGGATCATAATAAATTGTGGCAAGTTCTTGGTGGGATGGGCATACCAAGCCACCTTGTCTCTCTCCTGAGGAATCTGTACAAGGACCAAGTAGCAACAGTCAGAACTGACCACGGAACAACAGACTGGTTCAAGATTGGGAAAGGCGTACGGCAAGGCTGCATCCTCTCACCCAACCTTTTTAACTTGTATGCAGAACACATCATGCGATGTGCGGGGCTGGATGAATGCAAAGCTGGGGTGAAAATTGCTGGAAGAAACATTAACCACCTCAGATATGCAGATGACACCACTCTGATGGCCGAAAGCGAGGAGGAGCTGAGGAGCCTTCTAATCAAGGTGAAAGAAGAAAGCGCAAAAGCTGGGTTGCAGCTAAACATCAAAAAAAACAAGATTATGGCAACAAGAATGATTGACAACTGGGAAATAGAAGGAGAAAACGTGGAGGCCGTGACAGACTTTGTATTTCTAGGTGCAAAGATTACTGCAGATGCAGACTGTGGCCAGGAAATCAGAAGACGCTTACTTCTTGGGAGGAGAGCAATCGTCCAGTCTCGATAAAATAGTAAAGAGTAGAGACATCAGACTGGCAACAAAGATCCGCCTAGTCAAAGCCATGGTATTCCCTGTAGTAACCTACGGATGTGAGAGCTGGACCTTAGGGAAGGCTGAGCGAAGGAAGATAGATGCTTTCGAACTGGTGTTGGAGGAAAGTTCTGAGAGCGCCTTGGACTGCGAGAAGATCCAACCAGTCCATCCTCCAGGAAATAAAGCCCGACTGCTCACTGGAGGGAAGGATACTAGAGACAAAGTTGAAGTACTTTGGCCACATCATGAGGAGACAGCAAAGCCTAGAGAAGACAATTATGCTGGGGAAAGTGGAAGGCAAAAGGAAGAGGGGTCGACCAAGGGCAAGATGGATGGATGGCATCCTTGAAGTGACTGGACTGACCTTGAAGGAGCTGGGGGTGGTGACGGCCGACAGGGAGCTCTGGCGTGGGCTGGTCCATGAGGTCACGAAGAGTCGGAGACGACTGAACGAATGAACAACAATCCCCTTTGGGGAGATGGTGGCAGAGTATAAATAAAGTCTATAATATGATGAGTCCATAGCAGACAAGATCACACTGCTGGCTGTGGTATTGGATCACACATCGGACACTTCCCAAGTGTCTAGGACTATGTGATGTATCCGTGAATAATGCATACAGATCCCAGTATGGTGGCCTTCTGCAGCTCACAGATGGTAATTTTGTCAGCACTGATTGTTTTTAAGTGCAGGCCAAGGTCTTTAGGCACTGCACCCAGTGCATGGAATTATTATTATTAGTTTCTCTTTCTTCCTTAATCATTTTAATTCTGTGTTATTTCTTGTTAGCAATAAGGTGTCAACAATATGTTTCAAACCGTTGACATTCCTTCTAGTTTTAATGTTTCCTTCCTCTGAGTCGAACCCTGGTTTCCATGTGATGTTTACATACAAACTAAGGCGCTACTTTCAAAGAGGCGGAGTCCTGAGTAATTGCATAAGGTTTATGGACTTCAGCTCCCAGAATCCCTGAATACTGCCCAAAGCGGCTGAGGATTCTGGGAGATGAAGTTCTACGCCCGTGTAGGCCTAGCTGTAGGGCGTTGCAGCCTAAGCCAATCAGATCGTGGCAGCTTCCCTCGTTCATTCAGGAAGCCGCGGCCTTTGTGACGTCGCTTGCCAGAGGGTGCTATGGTTATGTGTTCGGTTGCCAGGCAACGGCAACGCATAGCCATAGCACCAGCTAGCACGTGACATAACAAAGACCCTGGTTTCCTGAAAGGACGAGGGAGCCTGCCATGATCTGATTGGCTTACGGTAGTCTGTGTCCTTACGCGCCATTGCAGCTCTTTCGCTGGGAAGCCACAGATCGCTGACTGGTAAGGAACCCATCTGCCTCTTAGTCCCTGTCAATGCGCTCAGCCAGGGCAGAGGTAACAGAGCCTAGTTGTTTATCCAATTCTGGTCCTGTAGGTGTGTTGGACTTCAGCTCCCAGAATCCCCGATCATTGGCTGAGGAAGCTGGGGCTTCTGGGAGTTGAAGTCCAAAAAACTGCAATATTCGAATTTTGCATTCACTAAACAGTGGGAAAGGTTGGATCCTTCTGATTTTGGGACTTCAGGTTTCAGAAGCCCCAGCTAGCTTGACCAATGATCAGGGTCAAAAACCTTTGTGGGGAACCAAAGGTTGGGAACCAATGTCATCGGAGGAGCAATAACACCATGTAACCAAAAAAAAAAACCCCCGGGAAAAACAATCTGTTCCTAGTTTGAGAGAGTCATTTCTTGTTTAATCGCGTGGTCCTTACCTTAGAATAGTTGTTATACTCCAGAAACTTCATTTTTGTGTCTGCCACAAACTAGGTTGAATTGGGTGAGACAAGATATTTATTAAAAACTATAGCAAAATGCGACTGTACCTCGTGAAGGCGGATCTGGCCAGTCACCTCCAGATTAGACTACTGTAATGCACTCTACGTGGGGCTGCCCTTGAAAACGGCCCAGAAATTCCAACTGGTTCAACGGGCAGCGGCCAGATTGTTAACTGGTGCTCCTTACAGGGAGATGTCAACCCTTCTGTTTAAGGAGCTCCATTGACTGCCGTTCATTTTCCGGTCCCAATAGAAGGTGCTGGGTGCTTACCTACAAAGCCCTAAATGGTTTGGGACCCGCCTACCTGCGTGACCGCATTTCAGTATACGAACCCACATGATCTCTTCGATCTTCCGGAGGGGCCCTGCTCACGATCCCACCTGCTTCGCAAGCGCGATTGGTGGGGACAAGGGACAGGGCCTTCTCTGTGGTGGCCCCTCGACTCTGGAACTCACTCCCAAAGGATATCAGGCATGCCCCAACGTTGGCAGTCTTTAGGAGGAGCTTGAAAACATGGTTGTTTCAGTGTGCCTTCCCAGAATAGGAAACTCCAAGCACTTTGTCCCAAATGCACTTTACTAGAGATCTAGGACTGTTGCACGCCCTACCTATTCTCCAAAATATCTATCCATTTCACCCGGTCATGCCCAGCTTTTTAAATTTTAACCTTTACATCTGGCCTTGACATTGGTTTTTAATTGTGTCGTGTTGTTATTGTTAATGTTATTGCTTGAGTTTTATTTACTGCTGTATTGTTGTTGTCTTGTTTATTGTTGTATTGGGTCTCGGCCTACTGTAAGCCACACCGAGTCCTTCGGGAGATGGTAGCGGGTACAAATAAAGGTTTATTATTATTATTATTATTATTATTATTATTATTATTATTATTATTAAAATGTGCTGCAGGACAAACATCAAGTTTTTGTAGTAAACTTTTCCCATGAGTTGCTGTGAGTTTTCCAGGCTGTACGGCCATGTTCCAGAAGCATTTTCTCCTGACATTTCGCCCATATCTATGGCAGGCATTCTCAGAGGTTGAGGGGTTTGTTGGAAACTGGGCAAGTGAAGTTTCTATATCTGTGGAAGGTCCAGGGTGGGAGAAACAACTCTTGTCTGCTTGAGGCAAGAATGAATGTTGCAGTTGGCCACCTTGATTAGCACTGAATGGCTTTGCAGTTTCAAGTGAGGTTTATATATTTGTGGAATGTCCAGGGTGCGAGAAAGAATTCTTGTTTGTTTGAGGCAGCTGGTACAAGGGTTTAACCCAGTAGTTCTTAACCTGTGGGTGCACCAGATGTATTGGCCTTCAACTCTCAGAAATCCTAACTGGCTGAGATTTCCAGGAGTTGTAGGCCAAAACTCTTGGGGACCCACAGGTTGAGAACTACTGCATTAGTGGTTTAGAGATGGTGTGGGTCCCATTGAAAGAAGTGTTTTAAAAAATGTTCCTGTCTCTTTTAATGTAGGGGATTAAGGGGAAAGGATCCCACTGTGCCACTATGGGGGGGGGGGGGGCTCTGAAATGCAATCAATGTTCATTGCAGCTTTATCTCTGTATAAAGATGTGCAAAGACAATATATAAAGAATTCTCATTTTAGCCCAGATTCTTGCTCAGGAAGAAACTTTAAAAGATATCGGTTTATGATTATAATAGTGAAATATGTAGTAAGAGATAAGTCTATGCTTAATATCAATGCAGAATTTTGCACAGAATGGGAACAGATGTCGAATACCTCAAGAAATGTATGGGAAAGTGCTTGACTGCGGGACTTGCCGAGGTGGCAGACCGCCAGCCGGAGGATCCAATCAATTTCCTGGCACACTGGCTTTACAGCTACAAAGAAAGAAGAAATGACGAAGAAAAGGTGACACAAATTTTCCTTTTTTTTTTAAAAAAAAAAAAGCCAATATTTAAAAAGCCAGTCTTAATGTGACAGAGTTTCAATTCATCTCCTCCTGTGTGTTGGGTTTTTCTAGATGAAGATAGAGAGAGCCCAGCTGGAATGTGAATATGAGGATGCCGTTGAAGAATTGGAGAGGAGAGAAAAACTAAAAGCAGAAGAAATCCTAGTTGCCCAAAAATTTGAAGAAGAGCAGATGGTCTGAATCTTTTATGTTTACGTTGAAACTTTTCTTTTCAAACCAATATTTATTTGACCACTGAAACAGCTGAGTTGACCTCCAGGGTGGATCAAGTGCCATATATGAGGGTTGAATGAAAAGTAATGCCTCCACCTTCGTTACTTGGATTTGGATGGGAATATTTTAATAAATCAAACACAGAAATAATTCTTACGATGTGCTCTTTAACTACCACTATTCACTTTTCCACATAATCACCAGACAATTGGATACATTTCTGCCAAAGATGAACAAGTTTTCTGACGCCGTCACAGAAGAAGTCGACACTCTGTTTATGCAACTAGTGTCTCTGTTGCAACCCAGAGCAGGAAACTGGACCCTAAGACCACAATCCACCACACTTGACTTCAGGAAAAAACAATCATTTTTATTGATGAAAGATGAGTACAAAAATAGGGGAAAATATGCAAGGTAAAAAGCCACAGCAAAATCAGCAACAAGAAATGTCCATGAACAAGATCAAAACCCCACAGTAACACTGCTAGCAATCCACTAACCGTACTTGAAGCACTAGAAAAACTCCTTGGAACAAAGCCACTGGAAGCAGGAGAACTGCAAGAGTCTGCACATGAATCTGAAACGATGCCTGGACTGAATGGGCATCCAGGCCAAGCGTTTTTAAAGCATAGAAATCTATTTCGTGACGTGCCTGAAGGCCGTGTTTGCATTTCTCTTAATCTAGCTGACCTCTGTAAACTCTGTGCTTCGCCTCTGCTTTGCCAAATCTGCCCCCGTCTATCCTCATTAGAGGGCCAGGTGTCAGATTATCTGAAGAGCTAAAAGGGAGTGAAAGTTCACTGCTTGGCTCTGAATCATTCTCATGGGAATTTGGACTTTCGTTTTCCAAAGCAGCAGGATTTTCACTACACAAACTGTCATCTTCTACATTGACCTCAGAATAATTGACATCTTCATTGACATCAGGAAATACAATCAGAGAGTCAGGTACAGGTTCACACACAGGCTGAACCCCAACAGTCTCACAGTTCTCTCAACATCTTCATCAGAAGCATAATGATGTCCCCGCAGATCTTCTTTCATTATTGGGAACAGATGGAAATCAGACGGTGCTGAATCTGGACTGTATGGAGGATGTTGTATGGTAGTGAGATCCAGTCTCTGAAGTTTCATGTCTGTGCGCTTTCATTTTAGGCGTCAGCATCCTGGGTACGCACTGTACACAGATCTTCCGATAGTCAACCAAAGCAATAATGTGGCCCACACCAAACGTCCTTGTGAAATGCCAATTATGCTTGAAATTTCTCTCTGAGTGATACGACGATCGTCATGAATCAATCTGTCAACCTTTTGCTTGTGAAACTCAGTGGTTGCTGACACAGGATGTCCAATTCTTTGTTTGTCATGCAAGTCAGATGTTCCCACCTCAACATCTTTAAACTTACTCACCCAACGGCACACAATACTCACATCAGCACAATCACCATAAACTGCTTGCATTCTCTGATTAATCTTCTTTGGAGTGACATCTTCTGCTGTCAAGAATTCAGTGACTGTATGTTGCTTAAGTCGCATTGACCGACTGTCTGCGTAGGGTTCTATATTTTGCATTTTAACAACACAACCGTTCAATGCTAAGGCTTCCTGCCAAACTGGAACTGTAGAGGAGAGTCAACTGAACAAGCCAGTACCTGCCAAATACCAGTATTGCCATCTGTTGAGGAGTTACGAAGGTGGAGGCATTACTTTTCTTTCAAGCCTCGTGTGTGTGTTCATGCGCGTGCGTGCACATACACAGACACAAATATTTCCACTCTTATTTGTAGTCACTGAGTTTTGAACCAACTACTTGAGATACGATTTTAGTAAGTCATTTTGTTAATTAAATTATAGTTTATTATATAAAGAACAATCAGAAAATAATACAGAAATATTAACTGAGGAAGCAACTTTAGGGGAAATCTTTGGAAAGCCCCTCTGAACAAACCTTGCCAAGAAAACTCCATGATAGTTTTGCCTTAGGGGTACCGTAAGTTATACATTACTCAAAGGCATAGCAAAAGCAGTGGTGCATCATATCAGTAAATCTGTTGAAAATGGAAAGGAATAATGAACGGTATTCATGAAGGGCGTATGAAGCCTAAGGCTCCATCTGCACTGCCTTATAAAATCCAGATTATCTGCTTTGAGCTGCATTATATGGCAGTGTAGACTCAGGGCCCTACCACACAGCCATATAACTCAGAATATCAAGGCAGATAATCCACAATATCTGCTTTGAATTGGTTTATCTGAATCCACACTGCCATATAATCCAGATCAATGGGGATTTTATACTGCTGTGTAGCTGGAGCCTCATATTATCCAGTTCAAAGAAGATAATGTGGATTATTTGATTTGATAATCTGGGCCTAAGAACATAGATGTGAGTTTCAGTGTTATCGTCCATTTTAACAGTAAACTTGGATGATAGGACAGTTTGTAAGTGTGTTTGTTTTAAATACTTCAGATACTTTATGGGATATCAGAGAGATCTCAGAATATGGGAAAGAAGAAAAAAAATATAACATTTGCAAATTATAAACAGTTCTGCAAGTCTTTGATTTCAGGCAACCTTAAGTTCTGAATTACACTGCTCCTGTTAGTGGCTGGGAAGACCCTAAAAATGTCTTTCATACACAGGACTTTTATAATGCAAGAACAGCTGTTTCTGACTGCTGTTTGAAATTCCTTCTTCACATTATTCTTGTTTGCTCCCTCTTGTTTTCCTGTATATATCATATGTCCTGCAGCCATGATTTAAGGTTGTTATTCATACTACAGAATCAAATTTTAAAGTGTTTGCTGTAAGGTATTGCAGGATTCCATATTGCTATTCCCTTTTATACCATGCATAGTAGAATAAGGCCACATTTAGTTGATACCTAGATTCAGGTAGAACCCATTCCTACAACATACTAATCTGTGTGCAAGGAAACTTATTTTATTGTAAAAATATAAGTGAAATAACTTTATCTGGTAAAATTCTGTTCTTTTGTGGATAGAATCATATTCTTTAAAGAATTTTGTCCTAGGATTGAAAAGGATGGACTGAAAATCATTTCATGTAAATTGAGATTTCTCGTTTACATTCCCATTTAATCTCCAGGATAGCTAAATACTGGGATAGAAAGGAAACATCTGCACTAGGCACTGATCAGACCATCATTCTATAATACAGTGTAATTCAACTGCTAAGCCAGAATTATAGCGAACCATGAGTATAAGAGCAAGCCAGCTTCCTAAGAGTAATTAAAGAGTTAATCGTAGATAAGAAAATGTTAAGAATTGAGTAAATATTACTGTAGTCAGATTATTTTCTTTCCATGAGAAGATCAGGTATTTACTAGGTAGGAATTTTGTTTTGTTTTTTACTCACAGAAATATAAACATTTATGGAATAGTGTTTCTCTTAAAGAGAAATGTATATTTTAAAAGTCTCAATTGGTTTGTCCTAAGCAGAAATAAAAACTAAAACAACTTTTAACTCAGCCCCTTTGAGCTTTTGAATTACCTGGTTAATCTATACTGTAGAATTAATACAGTTTGACACCACTTTTAATTGCCATGCCTCAATGCTATGGGATCATAAAAATTGTTGTTTTACAATGTCTTTTTCCTTCTCTGCCAAAGAGTGCTGGTGCCTTATCAGTCTACAACTCCCTTGTTTCCATAGCACTGAGCCATGGCAGTTAAAATGTTGTCAAACTGCATTAATTCAACACACTATGTATTTGCATTCATACTGTAGCAATGTTTATGTGTACATCTCTTTTAAAAATGCATTCTAAAAAGGAACCTTTCGTAGTTCTATGTTGTCATGCTCATATGTATGAAATGCATTTTCATTGACAGAAGAAAAGTAAAGAAGATGTCAACATCCCTAAAGAATATGAAACCGGAGCATCAAAAGAGATATTAAATGATAAACAGAATAAAAATGAACTAAATATGTCAAACAATGTTTTGAATGAGATATCTGGGGAAGTTGCAACTAACGTAACTCTTCAGGAAGCCATGCCTGAGATAACTGTTGATGAGGATTTTGATGACGTTAACAAGGACATGGAAGACACAGAGAAAAATCAATTGGAATATTCCAAAATCACGGAAAATGAAGATGATATACCTTCAGAAAATGACAGTTCAGATGAGGAATGCAGGTCTAGTTCAGACCTAAACTGAGATTGACTGTTTCTCAAATTTTCTTGGAGGTAAATCCCAATTAGTTAAAGAGGGCTTTGAATCAAAACATTGTGTGCAAGAATGTAATCTTAAAGAAGATACTTCAGTTAGAGTAGGGTTTTGTTTCATTGGTGTGATCTGCAGTGTTTTGAACATGATTCACAGTAGTATTTTATGGTAGTATTTTACCTCTGGGAGGATGGCGTTACCTTCATCAACCATCATGAACTAGGGTAGAAAAGTAATACAGAGATGTAAAAGCTGCTATAGATTTTCCCCATCCAACAATCCAATCAAAAAGTGTTTATTTTCTAATGGCCACAGGCTACCATATTGGATTGCATGATTTTTTAAAAATGGTTTTAAGGTTTTATATGTTTTAATTGGTTCTTTTCATGCTTATGTTTTTATTATGTGTGGTTTTGCCATTAAATTGTTGCTTTTTTGTTGTGTGAGGAGCGACTGGAGAAACTACAAGTCGCTTCTGGTTTGAGAGAATTGGCCGTCTGCAAGGACGTTGCCCAGGGGATGCCTGGATGTTTTGATGTTTTATCATCCTTGTGGGAGGCTTCTCTCATGTCTCTGCATGAGGAGCTGGAGTTGATAGAGGGAGCTAATATGCGCTCTCCCTGGATTCGAACCTGCGACCTATGATACAGTCCTGCCGGCATAGAGGTTTAACCCACTGCTCCACCAGGGGCTCTGATATCGTTGCTTATACACACACACACACATGCTACCTTGAGTCCCCTATGGGGTTGAGAAGGGCAGGGTATGAATACATTAAATAATTTTTTAAAAATCCTAACAAAATAAAATAAGTTAAAAATTCTTAACAAAATTCTTGCTTGCCTTTCTCATGTTCATTCTGCGAAAGGGAGCAAGAACTGTTAGACGTACTGTAGGGTTCTCCAACAATTTAATCCAGGTTTATGGACATCAGTAGGTGTTTGGAGCCACTTCATAAAATAGTCAAATGATTTACTACAACCCCCCTAAAACCCTGTTAAAATCATAGGCTATCCAGTCCAACCTGCTGTGCAGGAACACAGAATCAAAGCACCTCCAACAGATGGTCATCCAGCCTCTGCTTGAGAACCTACAGGGGTGGCGGCGGTTGATGATATTGAAATAATAAATAAATAAATAAATAAATAAATAATGTCTCTCTTCAAGGCCTGAGGTGAGTTATAACACAGTTAAAATTAACAGCGAAATTATACAATACATCTGTTAAAGATATAGATAGAACTAATTTGTACCAATAAAATGAAGTTGAAATTCATTGGTTTAAATTGATTTGATGGGCCTACCGGAAGCTAGAAGTTTTCAGCTGTGTCTTCTGGCAGGTCATTCCACTGTCTCAGGGCCGCCTATGAAAAGGTCCTCTGGATGATGGCTGCCAGTCAAGTTCTGGCTTGTTGAAGTGTTTTCCCAGAGAACCTCAGAGACTTAAGGAATGGATTATTTGAGAGAAAGTGATCTTGTACATAACTATGTAGGACGTTAAAGGTAATAACCAACACTTTGGACATTGCCCAGAAACTAATCGGCAGCCAGTGAAGTGATATTAGTATGGATAATCTATAACAGTTCAGCAGAATTTCAAGTGGGAACAGTTTTCATTAATCACTTTAATCAGACTTTTAAATGTGAAATGTTGTCTTTGTATTGGCTCACAGTCTTTTTAGGGTGTAGTTACCTTCAGGATAATCAGAAAGCAGATTTCATTTGAACCCCTAACTGCTTTTTGGGGGAGTCAGGGTTGATATGAGGGAAAACATGCTAAGCAGCTATGGAGGTTCATTTTAACTCATAAATACGTTTGAATATAGGTGGACATCAGTTAATGAGTTAGATGTGTTCCTGGACATTACTAATTTAACAAAAAATTGTTACCAAAGGGGAAAAATAACATGGAAATAAAAGGGATAATAATAATAATAATAATAATAACAACAACAACAACAACAACAACTTTATTATACCCCACCACCATCTCCCCAAGGGACTCGGAGCGGCTTACATGAGGCCAAGCCCAACAGTACATCAATAAACAAAAGCAATAAACAAAAACAATAAATACAATTAATATAAATCACATATAAACAGTAACACACAAGGATTTAAAAACTTATGGCCGGGCCAAATGTAATAGTTTAAAAATTAAAAAAATAAACGCTGGGCATGAACAAGGTAGGATATAACTGGTATAGGGTTTTCAAAGAGAGATGATGGAATGCAGTCAATCCCAAACCAATAGTAAAGTGGCATGTTGCTGAGAATTTTCCTATAGATTCGCACAGCACAAAAAAGGAGATGTGCAACATGTTTCACCAAATATGCATGTGTGAACAACCAAGTCAAATAAGTCTTTAATTAATAAACAAAAGTATTTGAATATTCTGGAGACTATTTGAAGGCTTCTTCCAACATGCTTAGTGATCCATAAGTTGTTACTGTTGTTGCATGCTTTCAAGTTATCTTTGACTTAGTTTGACCCTAAGGAAACCAGATGTTCAGAGGCAATTTGCCTTTTTCTTCCTCTGAGGCCGAGATAATATGACTTTCCCAAAATCACCTAGTTGGCTTCTGTGGCTGAGGAAGGATTGACATTGTAGTCCACCAGTGTCATAGTTCAGCACTCAAACCATCAAACAAGCAGAGGGTTCATCAACTTAGGGGAAATTATAACTTACACAAAACTCTTGTTGATTGAGTTTTTTGTGTCAGCCAGATGGTGTCACTGTCAGCCAGATGGTGTCACCACTGCTTAATAAGCCAAGAGCAAAATACTCTTGCCCTTTGCTTATCTCATTCCAGCTAAATGAAAACAGTGTAAGTTAAACATTCGTGTTTACAAAAAAACTGTAAAAATGTTTGACAGGAAATAGTTTATGTACATTGTAAAAATTAGCCACCTACACATGGCAATTGTATGTATTACATATGCTGAAATGTCCAGTTTCTACTAATGGCAATAAAGGTGTTACTTCAATAATGGGATGATGTGTAGGTCGATCAACTTTCTTGGAAGACGAGGTTCTCTCATCTGCAAATGCAGGAGAGAAAAGGAAAAGATACCAAGGCTGTCCAGTTGGTGGGATGAAAGCTTGGTCAGACACTTTTAGAGAGCCACTGACAGTCAAGTAGAGCGCATCAAGATGGGCTAGTAGTAGAATGCGCCGTTGTATCAACTTCTCTGATTTTGGCTACCAGGTTTACTGTCAAACATCTTTTAAAATAATGAGCAGGTATGTACTTTGGCACAAAACAGTTAGAACCAAACTGTTCTAGTTCCTAAGACAAATATAAAAAGATTTATCATGACTTTCCAGATACGTGTTAACTAGTTTTATGGAAAGCCTTTGCCAGATAGAAAAACACAAGCAAAATTGCCTTGGTTGATGTTCCGTACCAAAAAGGAAGACAGTATAGGAAGGGATTCAGCAACCAATTGGGGAAACCTGACACTTGACGTCTTTATGCCCCTTTTCACACATTCATTGTGGGATGCTGAGGAGAAATTCTACATGAGACGTCACACAAGAATGTGTTCAATCATCTTTTATATTTGGGCTTAGTAAATAAAACACTGTGATGTTTTATACAAAGCTAATGTTTCCCATATTTGTCCCTGACATCCCCGTTGCCATGGCACTATAAGAGGGTTGTGTGAGGCCAGTCGCTCTTGTTGCAACGGTGTATTCATGGTGATGCCATGGATCATATTTTTGTTCTTGGGAACCACTGGTGGTCCATGGACCACTGATGTAGTTAAGATTGCGCTGGAGGACTTAGACAGGCTCACAAACACTTCTGAGGGGTGAGACTGTGGACACTGAATCCGTTGATAAGAGGAATCACACTGTACAGACAGTCCCCGAATTACAAGCATTCAGTTTACAAACAACTCTTATAAACTCATACATAGTTAAGACTGGGAGTGAGACAACAGGAAGTGAGAGAAATCTACCTCTTGGAATTAAAAAAGTCACTCCTGGAATACTGATCATGGGGAAAAGGTGTCTCTACTGAAGCTTTCTCACAAATCCTTGTTTCCACAACCAGCCAATTTTTTCAAAATCCAATTATCACAGAGACAGAAAGTGAAGTGGCATCTCCTGAACAGACAGCAAAACAAACATCATAGGGATGAGGTCAAAAAGGACTGAGAACTGTTTTTATACGGTCTCAAGAAAAGGGAGTTTCTAGGATCTTAGTACAACTAAGATATCCTCAGTGGCCGGAGGTTTAGGGAATTTTAATAGTATATGTTAGTATACTTGGGAAGTCTGATCTGGCCACAGTGGTCCACGCTCAGGTTATATCCCAAATAGATTACTGCAACACATTCTACATGGGGTTGCCTTTGAAGACTGTTCAGAAACTTCAGCTAGTCCAACGGGTGGCAGCCAGATTACTCACCGGAGCGACATACAGGAAGCACACCACCCCTGTTATGTCAGCTCCACTGGCTGCCGGTCCACTTCCAAGTAGAATTCAAAGTGCTGGTCTTGGCCTATAAAGCCCTAAATGACTCTGGCCCAGCTTACTTATCCGAACGTATCTCCCTTTACGTTCCGTCTTGTAGTTTGAGATCGTTTGGGGAGGCCCTGCTCTTAGCTCCACCAGCTTCGCAAAAGCGTTTGGCAGGGACAAGGGACAGCAACTTCTCGGTGGTGACCCGCCATCTGTAGAACTCACTCCCCAGTGAGATAAGGTTGGCCTCGTCTCTCCTTTCTTTTAGGAAGAAACTGAAAACATGGTTCTGGGACCAGGCCTTTGGGCAGCAGGCATGACAGCACTTTGCATGTAGAACTGGATTGGAAGTGGCTATGTGATTCAATAATAATGTTTTAAATTGTTTTAACTTACGCTTTTTATTGTTTTTAAATTGTTGCTATATTTGTTGTATCTCTCTGTATGTCATGGCATCGAATTGTTGCCAGTGTTGCTAGCGTAAGCCACTCTGAGTCCTCCCTCAGGGGTTGAGAAGAGCAGGGTAGAAATGTTGGAAATAAAATAAATAAATATATGTTGTAAATTTTCATTTCTTTTTTATGTTCTTTTTTAATTATATATATTTATTTTAATACATACACAACATGTATAGTTCCCACCACCATGAGGATTGTTTTCTTTTACATATTAATCCTTTTTGAGATGAACCTTATAGATTAACATTCTATATAACATTTGTCTCCTATTTCTTTCTTTCTTTTTTTTCTTAATTTTTTTAATTGATTATTTGACATAATCTCATATATAATCAGAAAATATACGTTCAGAAATACTGGAACATGTCTAGATCTGTATGTAGACAGCAACTTGTACAAAGTAAGTATAACATAATATTACGGTATAATTGGTATAGTGCAATATAGCAATATTTAAAACTGATATTGTACTATGTTAATAATATATATCTTGTAAGCCACTCTGAGTCTCCTTTGGGGTGAGAAGGGCGGCATATAAATGTCGTAAATAAATAAATAAATAAATACCATTCACTCGAGTTTAAGACACTTTCAAAGCAAAATCCATGCAAACTATTCCTAACTAGAACTGTGTCTATCTAGCTAACAGCAATAGTGTCATCAGCTACTCCCACCCCCATATCATATGCAAAAAATTAATGCCAATGTATTTTTTTTTATTCCTTACAAGGCAAGAAATGTATCTTCATGATCAAGATGGTTTCAGAGTATGTCCAAATACATCTTGATATTACATCAATAAAAAAGAAAACAAGAATGGGAGCAGGCAACTCTCTTATGACTAGAGCTTTCTGACTATTTTACATATACAGGCATGGACAACTGCAAAAACCCAATTTGCGTAAATTGAAAGATGTCCAAAACCATAATCAAATAAATATTTGATTATGGATATGTTGTAAATTATTAATTTGTTTTATATGGGTTATGATTATGTATGATTTGTTTATTTAATTTATGATGTTTCTGTTGAATTTTTTGTTTGTAATTTGTGTTGGTTTTTCATAGAATCATAGAATCAAAGAGTTGGAAGAGATCTCATGGGCCATCCAGTCCAACCCCCTGCCAAGAAGCAGGAATATTGCATTCAAATCACCCCTGACAGATGGCCATCCAGCCTCTGCTTAAAAGCTTCCAAGGAAGGAGCCTCCACCACACCCCGGGGCAGAGAGTTCCACTGCCGAATGGCTCTCACAGTCAGGAAGTTCTTCCTAATGTTCAGATGGAATCTCCTCTCTTGTAGTTTGAAGCCATTGTTCCGTCCTAGTCTCCAAGGAAGCAGAAAACAAGCTTGCTCCCTCCTCCCTGTGGCTTCCTCTCACATATTTATACATGGCTATCATATCTCCTCTCAGCCTTCTCTTTTTCAGGCTAAACATGCCCAGTTCCCTAAGCCACTCCTCGTAGGGCTTGTTCTCCAGACCCTTGATCATTTTAGTCGCCCTCCTCTGGACACATTCCAGCTTGTCAATATCTCTCTTGAATTGTGGTGCCCAGAATTGGACACAATATTCCAGGTGTGATCTAACCAAAGCGGAATAGAGGGGTAGCATTACTTCCTTAGATCTAGACACTAGGCTCCTATTGATTTTAACACTGTACGCTCCTTTAAATCCCATCCACCGGAGAAAAGCGAGATAAAAATAAATAAATAGCACATTTGAGCCAATTCAAAATTGAAATGATTTCTTAAAACCATAGCTGCAGCCTTCCACACATATTTAAAATGAAATATTTCACTAATAACAAACCTAGTGTTCCAGAAACTGGCCTTCCAGGTTGGGACTTCAGCTCCCATAACCTCTGATCATTGGCCAAGGCAACTGAGGCTTCTGGGAGTTGAAGTCCAAAACACCTGGAGGTGCAGAGTATGGGAACCTGCTGTGTATTCTGACCACAAGGCAAGAGAGTCTCAGAAAAGGGACGCCTGGCACTCCTTGTCAAAAGGCCACAAACGGAGGCCTCCAACTACCTTTTCCACCCCAGCATTCCAAACTCTTGTCCATCGCTCGTTGTGAACGTCGCCAGTTCCAGGGAGACTAGTGGAGACAGAGTTCTGAGCTACGCATGCGCAAACGGATCCCGCGAGACCTCAACGTCCGCTCGCGCAGTCATGGCGGACGTCGGTGCCTGCGAGGCCCAGGAGCGAGTCGGGCGAGTGGTGCTGCCGGGGGAGGCGCTGCTCCTGCCGGGCCACGCAGAGGCGGACAACGAGCGGCTACGCTTGTCGGCCAACGGGCCTCAGAAGGGGAAGCTGGTGTGCGGGCCGGGCCTGAGGCGCGGCGGAGAAGGCCTGCTGGTTACGAAGTGCGGCCTACTTCGTTACCGCGGCCCCGGAAGTGGCTCCGGAGGCGTTTATTGGGTAGACTCTCAGCAGAGGCGGGTAAGGAAGCGCGAGGGCCAGACTGCGCATGCGCGCGTGAGCACTTATATGTGCCTTATGGCAGTGGAGCGCTTTCTAAGAGTTGCTCAGCTAAACTGACAGAAGGATTTTGTTTATATATAGCGTTATACCAAGTGCTTTAGGCTATATAGTTTGCAAGCAAACTAGTCATATGTGGCCTAAACAGTGCTACAATGAGGTGGATCAATGTTGTTTATTCGTTCAGTCGCTTCCGACTCTTCGTGACCTCATGGACCAGCTCACGCAGAGCTCCCTATCAGCCGTCACCTCCCCCAGCTCCTTCAGAGTCAAGCCAGGTACTTCAAGGATGCCATCCATCCATCCATCTTGCTCTTGGTCGGCCCCTCTTCCTTTTTCCTTCCTTTTTCCCCAGCATAATTGTCTTCTCTAAGCTTTCCTGTCTCCTCATGATATGGCCAAAGTACTTCAACTTTGCCTCTAATATCCTTCTCTCCAATGCGCAGTCGGGCTTTATTTCCTGAAGTATGGACTGGTTAGATTTTCTTGCTGTCCAAAGCACTCTCAGAACTTTCCTCCAACACCACAGCTCAAAAGCTTCTATTTTCCTCTGCTCAGCCTTCCCTGTGGTCCGGCTCTCACATCCGTAGGTTTCTATGGGGAATACCATTGCTATAACTATGCAGATCTTGGTTGCCAGTGTGATGTTTACTCTTTACTATTTTATCGAGATTGGACATTGCTCTCCTCCCAAGAAGTAAGCGTCTTCTGATTTCCTGGCCACAGTCTGCGTCTGCAGTAATCTTTGCACCTAGAAATACAAAGTCTGTCACTGCCTTCACATTTTCTCCCTCTATTTCCGAGTTATTAATCATTCTTGTTGCCATAATCTTGGTTTTTTTATGTTTAACTGCAACCCAGCGTTTGTGCTTTCTTCTTGCACCATGATTAGAAGGCTCCGCAGCTCCTCCTCGCTTTCGGCCATCAAAGTGGTATCATCTGCATATCTAAGGTTGCTAATGTTTCTTCCAGCAATTTTTACCCCAGCCTTGCATTCATCAAGCCCTGCACATTGTGTGATGTATTCTGCATACAACTCGAATAGGGAGGGTTAGAATATACAACTCTGCCGTACGCCTTTCCCAATCTTGAACCAGTCTGTTGTTCCCTGGTCAGTTCTGACTTGCTACTTGGTCCTTATACAGATTCCTCAGGAGAGAGATAAGGTGATTTGGTATCCCCATCCCACCAACAACTTGCCACAATGTATTATGATCCACACAGTCAAAGGCTTTAGAATACTCAATAAAACAGAAATAGATGTTTTTCTGAAACTCCCTGCCTTTCTCCATTATCCAGCGGATATTGGCAATTTGGTCTCTCGTTTCTCTGCCTTTTCTAAGCCCACCTTGTACATCTGGCAACTCTCTCCATATATTGCTGGAATCTTTCTTGCAGGATCTTGAGCATTACCTTACCTTACTGGCATGAGAAATAAGTGCCACCGTACAAAAGTTTGAGGTGGATTCAAAACGATTCAATAGATTACAGTGCAGATTGGCCAAAACTAACAAAATGAATTTTGACAAGGACAAATGTAAGATACTACACTTAAGCAAAAAAAAAAAAAATTAAATCCACAGCTATAGGATGGGTGATACCTGGCTTGACAACAGTCCACGTGAGAACGATTTTGTAGTCTTCATGGACAACAAGTTGAACATGAGCCAGCAGTGTGGTGCAACAGCTAAAAAAAAAAACCCCAATGGGATTTTGGACTGCATCAAAAAGTATCTAGATCAAGGGAAGTCATGGTGCCTTTGTGTTCTGCTATGGTCAGCCTGCACCTGGAATACTGTGTCCAATTCTGGGCACCACAGTTCGAAAGAGATAGTGACAAGCTAGAAGGTGTCCAGAGGAGGGCAACTAAAATGATGGAAACCAGGCCTATGAGGAACATCTTAAAGTACTGGGCATGTTTAGCTTGCAGAAGAGAAGGTTGAGAGGAGTCATGATCACTATGTATAAATATATGAAAGGATGCCATAAGGAAGAGGGAGCAGGCATGTTTTCTGCTACTCTGGAAACTAGGATTCAGAATAAAGGGTTCAATTACAGGAAAGGAGATCCCACCTGAACATTAGGAAAAATTTACAAACCTGCCCTTACAAGCTGTTCAGCAGTGGAACTCTCTGCCTTGGAGTGTGGTGGAAGCTCCTTCCTTGGAAGCTTTTAAACAGGCTGGGTGGTCATCTGTCAGGGATACTTTGGTTGTAGTTTTCCTGGATGGCAGGGGGTTGGACTATATGGTTGTTCCAACTCTATGATTCTATATTTTAAAAGACTGATGATCTTCCTCTGAATATTACTTGCTTAAGAAAACCCTGGGAAATTAAAGGAGTTGCCATAACTGTTCCGTTGACTTTACAGTTCTGTTCTCTCTCTTTCATAGAATTTGAAAAATACTCCCAAAAGCAAGATGTTTTTGTCCTGTGCCTACTTCTCTTGCTACCTTCAAATTTGGAATTAAATCTAATCATTGCAAAGGAATATTTTTGTTGGTGTTCATCTAGTAATAAACCATTCTGCATCTTTTAATTTTAATATGTATTTTATAGAAGTACATTTTAATATGTGTATTATAGAATTTTTACAACATTTATTTGTTTTAATTATTCAATAATCCGCCATGAGGAGAGGAGGATAAGAAATAATATGGTTATTATTATCTCATCATCAAATTAACATTAAGATTTATAACTATCTGAATTGATACATTGGCCACATGTTGAAATTCACACATTCTTGCTAATGTAGGAGTATATTGGACAGGAGCACTCTATTTATAAAAGCTACCATAATTTTTGTTTTGAAAAAATAGCTACAGTATTGAAAAGAGCTGTATTTGAATTATTACAAATGTTGAGTAAATAATTTGCCACAGAGTACTGATATGTATTTAGTAAAAAAAATAAAATCAAATTTTCTGTTTTTTTAATGATTTATTTCACCACTAGTATGTACCAGTCAAGGGAGACCACGTGATAGGCATAGTAACTGCCAAAGCTGGAGACATATTCAAGGTGGATGTTGGAGGAAGTGAGCAGGCCTCTCTCTCCTACTTGGCATTTGAAGGGGCAACCAAAAGGAACAGGCCAAATGTACAGGTGAGGAGACTGAAACGTGATGGGCATCAGTGAGTCTTATGGGTCGCAGTCCTGTGTATGCTTATCTGTGAAAAAAAGTCTTATTACATTCAGTGTGACTTATTTTTGAGTAGACCTGCATAGGATTACCTTGCTGAGCTAGTGTTAATTTACAAAGTAAGGATGCTATAAAAATGGCACTGTGTGAACATGTCTAAATAAATTATATACACCTTGAGCAAATTTGAATTTCTTTATATATTTCTACTCTCTGTCAGTTCTTGCCAAAAGATATAAAATCTTTTAGGAGGCATGTACTAACAAATTTTCTGTTGCCATGCTTCGATAGCCAAGCATATGCTTTTAAGTATGTGGTTTTTTGGGTGTCTCTTACAAATACAGAGCACATTGCAATGTCTTACTAATCCAGAATTAAGATGTACACTAAATAAGATTGGTGCAAGCTTATACCTGCTGCTTGATGGGTCACACTGATCAATCAGAAATGGCAAACCGTAGTCTTTTTGTTTGTACTTACTCATCATTGCATCCAAACCTGACAGGGAGCTAAGTTACTAGGTTCAAGTGATACAGTATAAAAATAGCCAGAAGGCCTGTGGTTTCTTCCACCACTCCTGCTCTTGTGGGAATGATTAAGCAGCATGAAGGAGCATGCTGCCTCATTCATGGAAAGTCAGATTTTTCAAGGAATCTACTGTGTGTGACATGTCAGCTGAATAACATAATTTGATGTATTACATCAGGTGGCAGTGTTTCATAATAAAACTCTGTGAACAATCAAAACTTCTTTCATCTGTTCCCAAAAGAAAAAAAATTGAACAATATTCCCAGGAGTTAATGACTTTGAATACCTATTCCAGCAATTTTAACTCACAATAGTACCTAGGGACTCCCTTAAATACTTTTTTTTGGTCTAGTTGAGAGATACAGACCATGGTTAAATCTTCCTTGACAAATCATGATAATCCCTTCCACAATTTCTGTTTATATGAATGAAGTAAAAGCTTCATTGTGTAATCACTTTTTTCCCTTTGCATCCAAATGGAAGAACTTTTCACATACCTTTACTAGTTAAGGATAAGTTAATGAAATCAGGATATCTACTTGTGGTTTGAAAGCATTTGATTTGTCAGTTGGCTGGTATGGCAATCTTGAAAACTCATGACTTTTGTTGTTTTGTTGAACAAAAAAAAACCTGCAAGTACGTAACTGGCCAAAATAATTCCCTGATAAAATTCTTCAGCTGTTATGTAATACGAGCTGCAATACGTACATCTTCCAACACTTGTGGCATAGCTATCTCGCCAAAGATCACTCACACAGGACAGAGTCACTGTGTGAGTGTCAGTGTTGTTGATTTTAAGTTCTTGGCAACTCAAAATACTGTCTCTTTGAAATGGTTTCTGACCAGTCATTTTTAATACCCAGTAAGAAGAGATTATAAAGAAATTAAGTTCACATTGAGGTGAAGATTGTTTTCTCCTGCTCTGTTCTTGCTACTATGTATATATTCATAATAAATAAAATACAACACTGAACAGCTCTCATAATTACTTTTTTTTTTACCTAGGTGGGAGATCTTATTTATGGACAATTCATTGTTGCTAATAAAGACATGGAACCTGAGATGGTGTGTATAGACAGCAGTGGCCGGGCAAATGGAATGGGAGTCATTGGACAAGATGGTTTCTTATTCAAGGTTTCATTAGGCCTAATCAGAAAGTAAGTGTGGTAAAATTATGAGCAGCATATCTTATCCTTGGTCATTTTCTCTATCACAGTGGTTCTCAACCTGGGGTCCCCAGATGTTTTTGACCTACAACTCCCAGAAATCCCAGCCAGTTTAACAGCTGTTAGGATTTCTGGGAGTTGAAAGCCAAAAATATCTGGGGACCCCAGGTTGAGAACCACTGCTCTATCATGTCCTTCCTTATCTTAAAACAGTCACAAAAGCAATTGATTATGGAATTGTTTAAGATAACTGGTTCAACTGTGATGCTGATGAAGATTAACTTCCCTTTATTTATTATGTACCAATTTCCTTGTTAAGACACCTTCCTTGACCACTAGTATACTTCTGGGCGCAATTCAAAAATTTTATTTGAAAGAAACCTTTCTCTTAGTCCTGCAACCCTTATATTTGGCAAGGACAGAAGATAGTCATGGTGGCTGCTCCTAGTTTGGTTCAGGTTTCAAAAATCCTTTCAGCAACAAGCTTTTTTGTTTATTTGTGCTGAATAGTTTTAAATTTGTATTTTAATTACTGTATATTGTGAGCTGCCTTTAGTTCTGATATGAAGATGAAGGGATAATACAAGTAAAATATTAAAATAATTGATGTAACTAAAAAAAAGAGAGGCTAACTGAACACATCCAACTCTTGCGTAAATTTGGTTCAGTCCCCCGTCCTAATAATAAATTATTGAGTTTTTAATTGTTTGAAATATGGTTTTTGTAGCACAACGAAGTATTGACTTTCCTCTCTGTTGCTTCCTTTTATTTTTGTTTAAGACTCCTAGCTCCAGACTGTGAAATTATCCAGGATTTGGGACAACTATATCCATTTGAGTTGGTGTTAGGAATGAATGGAAGAATTTGGGTGAAAGCCAAAACAATTCAACAAACTTTAATTGTGACAAACGTCCTGGAAGCCTGTGAGCACATGACTGCAGAACAGAGGAAACAAGCAGTTGCCAAAGTGTTAGAAAACCAATAAAGGGAGGAAGCAGCTCTTTCATTTTATATTGCTGGAATATGGAGACAACAATATTTTTTTTTTACTTTTGTATTAAATTAAAAAATGTTACCATTCTAATATTGTTGTTTTTATTCTTCACCTTTCATCATTGTTTCAACTATGACTGTTGTGTCCTGAGGACACAATTGTTTGTAAAGCAGGCCATACCAGTGACCTTCACAAATGCTGTTCTTCCAATATATATAATAGCATGGAAACTCCAATTTTCTTTGTATTGTTATTAGTCTGCTAGTTTTCTGTGATCTGCTGATCATATGAATAGTTGTCATTTCTGAATTCATTATTATTTATATTCACACTACATTTGTGATATTTTTCCAGTGATGCAATTACTTTCATGAACCGACCCATAGAATCATAGAATTGGAAGAGACCTCATGGGCCATCCAGTCCAACCCCCTGCCAAGAAGCAGGAAAATCGCATTCAAATCACCTCTAACAGATGGCCATCTGGCCTCATAACCTCTGAGATGTCTGCCACACATGCAGGTGAAACTTCAGGAGAGAATGCTTCTAGAACATGGCCATACAGCCCGAAAAACTTACAACAACCCATCCGGCCTCTATTTAAAAGACTCCAAAGGAGGAGCCTCCACCACACTCTGAGGCAGAGAGTTCCTCTACTGAACAGCTCTCACAGGAAGTTCTTCCTAATGTTCAGGTGGAATCTCCTTTCCTGTAGTTTGAAGCCATTGTTCCGCATCCTAATCTCCAGGTCAGCAAAAAGCAAGTCTGCTCCCTCCTTCCTACGACTTTCCCTCACATATTTATACAAGACCTCAGCCTTTTCTTCTGTAGCCTAAACATGCCCAGCTCTTTAAGCCGCTCCTCATAGGGCTTGTTCTCCAGACCCTTGATCATTTTAGTTGCCCTTCTCTGGACACATTCCAGCTTGTCAACATCTCCCTTCAATTGTGATGCCCATAATTGGACACAGTATTCCAGATGTTGTCCGACCAAGGCAGAACAGAGGGGTAGCATGACTTCCCTGGATCTAGACGCGATACTCCTATTTATGTAGACCAAAATCCCATTGGTTTTTAAAGCTGCTGCATGACATTGTTAGCTCATGTTTAACTTGTTGTCCATGAAGATCTTTTTCACACTTACTGCTGTTGAGCCAGGTATCCCCCATTCTGTATCTTTGAATTTCATTTTTCTGCCTAAGTGGAGTATTTTTCATTTGTCTCTGTTGAACTTCATTTTGTTAGTTTTGGCCCATCTTTCTAATCTGTCAAGATCGTTTTGAATTCTGCTCCTGTCTTCTGACACCCAATTTGGTGTCATCTGCAAACTTGATGATCACATTTTGTAACCCTTCATAAGTCGTTAATAAAGATGAACAGAATTGGACTCAGAATGGAACCCTGCGGCACTCCGCTCATCACTTCTTTCCAGAATGAAGAGGAAGCATTGGTGAGCACCCTCTGGGTTCTTTCACTTAAACAATTACAGATCCACCTAACCATAGTTTTGCCTAGCCCACATTTGACTAGTTTGTTTGCCAGAAGGTCATGGGGGACCTTGTCAAAGACCTTACTGAAGTCCAGATCTGCTACTCCACAGTATTCTTTGTCATAGTCAGCTTGTAACTCTATCCAAATGTCTGTCCCTGTGTGATTTCCTATTCTCCTTAATATCTACCTTCAAAGAATGGTGGAAGCCCAAGTGTGAATGAGGAGGAGGAAGTTTCTATAAGGAGGAATAAAGGCTACATTCCTCTTCTTTTTCCCTCTCTCTCTTGTGTATGGCCCCTTCCACACAGCTCTATAAAATCCACATTACTCTGGATTATATGGCAGTGTGGACTCAATTCAGTTCAAAGCAGATATTGTGGATTATCTGCCTTGATATTCTGGGTTATATGGCTGTGTGGAAGGCCCCTTTGTACATATAATGAGGTGTTTGATAAATCTAGTTCCAAACCCTTGGTGTCATCTCACTCACTTTGCCTCATCTAGATTTCTCATCCTCAAGGTGATCCCTATGTGGATCAGTGGCTGTTTTGGTCTGTAGGCTTGTTGTGGTAAACATGACCAGACTTTCCATCAAGCTTAATAGGAACAGCCAAACAGCTGTTAAAAAATTAACAAGAAGTTTATTAAGGTATATTTAGATAACACATATTTAGATACTCTCTTCCCACAATCCTGTTGAGTTCTTCTCTCTGGCTGTCTTATCTTTATTACAGTTTTTCCCTATATGTCATCATTCCCCTATTTGCCAGGAACTGTTTATCTCTGTGTCATCTTTCCCCTATCTGCCTTTTGTTAGATGCCTCAGTTTTGCACAATTTCTTCATCATAGCCCCCTCCCCCCGGTCTCCACCATCACTCCTTGAGCTGTGATTGATTGGCACCAACCAATATATTTTGATCCAGACTTCGTCATGCTTAATCTACTGTAATCAATGTCAAATTAGTCATGATCAGTGAATTCAGCAGTTTGTCTTTAAGTATGACTAAGTTTTGGTTCACCCCATTGTTTCCCTGTAACATTTCAGGGACATGTCAGAAAGAAAGGATCAGCCTTTTCTCGAGCAAGAAACATATCATACATATCTCTGATCTTTCAGAGAACTGAGATTATTTCCCTACTATGTGAGGAAACAAACTTCAAGGAAACACTGCATTAGGTAGCTGTACCTGATATTACATAACTGACAGGCATTTAACTTTTTCTTGAAACAAGCATATGTCTTATTTTAAGAGCATCTCAGTGTGCATCAAACAAAAAAGAAGCAATACATTAACACATTTTAAGTTTTAAAATACTCAGTTTAATAAAAAATAGTTTATGACAACAGAAGTTAAACATGAAGTATCTATCTAAAATTGTCTATTTTCTACACTATATTAAAGAAAAAGCTGTGCTAGTTCCCATCTGATGTGAATTTTGTACTTGCAATTTCAGTGTATTTAAATTCGATGTATATACTTCCACTGCAAGCTAGGATGAATTTCTCCATATATCTATTTCATCTTTAAAACAATACTGTGGATTATTGGCAAAGGACAACACAGATTGCCAAATAATCCAGAGAGGCCACAGCTCTTGGGTTGCTTCTTTGACTTGTTACTTGCCTCCATAGTCTACATGTTTAATGAACCAGCCAATCGCAAACACTTTTATGGAAGAAGGTCCTTCCAAAAATTGTGGTGATGCAATTGCGAATGACACTGATTAGACCCATGTCAATCTGGTTTCAGGCCAGATTTGGGGACTAAATCACAATTGTTTAACTTAATGGATGGCCTTTATCTATGTCCAACTTGTTTCTTTTAGGAATTTTTGATACAGTTGACCAGCAACAATTTTTTTTCAAGTTTGTTACATAGTGTAATCAATACAGTGATGACATCCAGGTCTGGTTTGTTACATTTGAATGAGATGTGGCTGTAGAAGTTCCAAACAAGTGCCTGGATATATTGATTACCTGATAATAAGTAATAGGCTGAGTCTTAGTTTTGACAATACAAACATTGTGTGGGTGACTGGTTCCCATGTCTGGGAGATAGGGTGCCTACTTGGTTTGAATGAGTTTTGCCAGCCTGAGGTTATAACCTATTCCATCTTTGTTTCTGAAGGCCCAAGTGATTGGTGACTTGGAGTGGTTTTTATCAGCTTATTTTTTTTATTTCGTATCAAATAAATTAGTATAAAACCGATAAAAATAGAAGGAGCGCCGGTGGCTAAATATCTTTTGATCAAAAACGGGCAACAGCAATGGCATTGTCTGTAACCTCCAACAATTCTTCCTCTGTACATGAGGCAGGGCATAGTGGACAAGCATACAGATGTGGAGTTGTCTGTTCTGCTCCACAGTCACACAAGGTGTGGGATTCTTTTAGGTAGTGCCATTTTTCCAGGTTGTCTTTTGATCTGCCCACTCCACTCCTGAGTCTGTTCAGGGACTTTCAAGTTGCCCAGTCTTGGTTTGCCCCTGGAGGACGACCCTCGTGGGGGGCCATCCAGTTGGGGTTTTCTGGTTTAGTTGCCCAGAGGGATACCCCTGCTGTTGCTGGGGGGATGCCAAGAGAAGTGGTATTTCTCATAAAGCTTTTCCTTGATTTGAGTCTACTGGGAGGAGGCTGGTAGCCATGTAGTGGGTGGCTTTCACAGTATTCAACTTTATTTCTCTCACATTTAGCAGCAACTTCCCATCGCACATCAGGGGTACAATGCCAGCTACCTTGTAGAGTTTATCAACAGGTGTAGGTTTAAGACATCCTGTGATTATTCTGCGTGCTTCATTCAATGCTTTGTTCACCTGCTTTGCATGGGCAGACCTATGCCAAACAGGGCAGGCATACTCAGCAGTTGAGTAAGACAAGGCTAGGGCTGATGTTCTTATTAATTTTGGGTCTGCACCCCATGTGCTATCAGTAAGTTTCCGCAGGATGTTATTGTGTGCAGCTACTTTGTGCTTGATGTTCAAGCAGTGTTCAAGCTTTGGCAAGTATACTTCATGGTGATTGTTTAAAACACTTTGGCTACAATGGTCTAGTGCTGGGTGTCCTCTAAGTTGACCTATTGCAATGTGCTCTACATGGGGCTATGCTTAAAGCTGGTCTGGAAACTACAGATAGTGAAACAATTATTCAAATAGGCTTCTGAATGGCACAGCTTAAAAGCAGCAGATAACACTCCCATTGAAAGATCTATACTGGCTGCCTATCCATGACTGGGTCACTTTTAAGTTTTTATTGTTAGTACATGCAACCCTAAACAACTTGGGCCCTGGTTATCTTAGATACTGCCTTCTCTCTTCTAGACCTATGCAGATTTTTAGATCATCTGGAAACACCACAAGCTGCTACATTTACTCAGTAGTCATTTAGAAGAGCGTGTTCATTGTATTGGAACCTACTATATGGAATGCTCTTCCATCAGAAACTGAAAGTTTCTGTTTTTCTGTAATTATCAACATATTAAAAACACTTATTCGAGCAAGCTTCCCCATTCTGCCAATGCCTTAAATCAAGAAATAGTTTTCTAGGATCTATAGAGATACTCGTAGGAACACCTCAGCAAGCAAGAATCCAAAAGTGGCAGGC